TAACTTGTTTGTCGCCACGATGTTTGTGCAATTTCAATATTGCTTAAAAAGACACTTCTATACAACCGATATGTTTGAAGGTGCTGATCTCCATCTTTCAGAATATGTAGTACATTGCAATGTTTATGTAAATTTATCCAGCTCCAATACTGTGATATTAATTCGAAATGACTAGAATGGTAGACTTTTTAAAACCATATACTCCGATTGATGTCAGAATTATGCTCAAACCTTAATAAAAGTAGACAGACACCCAAGTTGTGTGTGTATATGTGCCACAGCTTCAAGTTTAATTTAAGACAATTCACCGGAATACCAAAACATAGGGCAAACCGGAAGCATTAGGTAGTACTCATGTCCACCGTACATCATCAATAAATATTGATATCTACCGCTACGTGTACATGTATTACGAGAATACCGCAATACAAAAAAACAGGTAGGGCAAACCGGAAACATCCGTTACACCCAAACTCAAAAAGGATTCACTGATAACAATAACCACGATAGGGATAGTGATACCCAAGACTATTATCCACACATACATCAACAAAGAACGCAACAATGACGCAACAATGACTCAGTGATAACGATAACCACAATATAGATAGTGATACCCATGACCACTATATATCCACACAAACCACCAACAAGGAACGCAACAATGACGCAACAATGATTCAGTGATAACAATACTACCACAATATAGATAGTGATACCCATGACCACTGTCCACACAAACCATCAATAAGGAACGCCATTGTGTAAATAACACTCTACTCAATTGGAATCGCTCCAGTAAAACTATAGACCATGAAGGTCCACAAATTAGTTATTCCAGAAAACTTTCTTAGCATGGTAAATTACAATCACTTGTTCCAACCGCTGGAACATTCGGCCGGTATAACCTGTGTGGGATATCACGGGCTATTTGTTACACATTTATATGTACAATGAGGATAAACTCCCAGGTATGGTAGGGAATGGGCCCTGTAGCACATCACGGCGCTATATTGTTACATTACAAAATTACATCTAGCACATAAGACTTTAGAGGTACAAGTACAAGCGAAATGTCCCATCCCATTGAAGTTAGCTAATCCCACATCCAAATAAGATTGGGTGTTCAACTTCTTATTTGGCACAAAAAAACCGCCAAACTCGAGAAGCGCGACCCACAAAAAAGAAACGAACACACAAAAAGTACTTCCGAGTGTTCCGAGTGTGGGTGTTCAAACACCTTGGCCAAGCGCCTTCATTATGAGAAGCCATGCGGTTTGCCTCATTATAACGCGCACTCTCCCACGACTCAATACGAAAACTGCATCAACTTCAATTTGAATACATGAATGTACAACCTACTGAAGATGTGCAAAAATATAATGACGTCACCATGACGTCAACATGTATCAAATGTCAAGCAATTAAAGAATTCTAGATTTAATCTTTGGAAATCAATATAAAATAAACCGTATGCGACCTGAACTTGAATTTTGCAGGAATGGATAGAATAATTCAGGATCTTCAATTTATCTGGTGTCTGCAATATCACGTGACCCTTCCTTCTGGTCCAAACCGGAAGTGCCTCAGGATTTGAAAGTCGAAAAGGTTGTGAACTTATTTTCAACGATGTTAATCTTCAATGATGCTGACGTCGTAAAATGTTAGAGCGCCCTCTAGCAGCAGGACTTAAAAATATCAAAAAAATTATTTTCATTTGATGGGTGTGGCGAAGTTTGCGGAAATCGCTTCAAAATTAATGTATATGATGACCTTTATGCGAAAAAAATGGATGACGTCATCAGACCGGAAGTTACAATTAAAAGATCTTTAAACCTTAAAAAATTGCTAAACAATTTGTTTGTCAAGATGGGCAGGGAGTGGAGCAGAATTAGACCCAAGTCCAAGCACTTCCTCCTGAAGAGATTCGTAAGTGTTTAAATCTTAAGTAAAAAGTATTGTTTATTGAAAGTCTGTATAATTAAATAACTTATGTATGATGCTATTCAAGTTTTCTTTATGAAAGTTTAGAACAAGTTATTTATTTATAGTTTTGAATTTGATGGCTCAAGAGTCACTTCACAAATTTGAAGGGCTCACCTGTTTAATTTGGAAGGATTTAAAGAGTCGATGATTCGTTGTAGAAGTGTAATTGAGGACTTACCATATTTACTGCTATAATTAAAAAAGAAAAGAGGATCCAGGCACTTGTAAGGTTTTGGTTATTTCTTTAATCTCGTTGGTCAGCTCTTCTGTGGTGTGTAGTGTGCCAGGGACTGAAAATGGACCATAAGTGCCTGCCGAAGTAGCGCATGCGCACTAGTTTCTCCCATTTTGGAGGGGGGAGAGATTTTATGAATTCCCTAGACGTTGTTCCTGACGGGTTCGTGGGTGATATTGGTTAGTCGTGATTACGCCCTCTCGCAGCGGGGTTATCGCGGCGACGGGTTTTTGCGTATCCAACCTTAACAACGTCTAGCCCTTCAGACTACATTTCTCATCAAAGCGTCGTTGGAAATCGCCTGCCCTGCTAAACAGAGCTATTTAGCAAGGACACAATTCTTTATTCCTTTTTTTTCTTCATAAAGTACAACTTTTTTTGTAATGTCTAATTGCATAAAGGAAATCGGCCTATAAGCGATATCAGGCCTTCAATCTTACTGAGATCCCTTAGGAGTTATCCTTAGCTAATGTATTATGCTACTAAATAAGAAGGTCGTCAATCTACGTCCATATGCTGTCTGAACAGCACCCACTATCAAACTCAAGGTAGACAGGGTTGTGTGATGTCTGACCGATAAACCTGGGAAGGAGTCAGCCTTTCCTGGCAGTGGACGTAAAAGAATTAGCTGATAAACTTCTTCGAGTTTGCCAGTAAACAAAACAATCATTCACAGTGACTAAAACATCTGGGAAAATTGCAACTTATTCGCACGAAGGTCTTCAATTAGGCGCACCCACAACTGTTGGCGTTTTATACATTTCTGTTTTGGGGGTCGCGAGTACATTTTATTTGAATGGTAAAAATTCTAAAATGTTTACTGGTAGGCGTATGCAAAAGAATCGTGGGCACCTTTGTTTTAAGGAAACGAACGTGACAGTCCCTTTCCGCCCTTCCAGGTAGTGTTACCATCCCCGATGACAAAAAAAACCAAGACGAGTAGCGCCACCTATTATCAGATTACACTAGATCGTCGGCGTTTAACAGTACCTTTAATGAACGAATGCTATCCCCCCCCCCCCCCCCCCCCATTTTGATGTTGCAGTTGCTGGGTGATAGGGGTAAACGCTGTGGCTGCCTTCCAAACCAACACAAAAATGGAGAAAGCTGCTGATGTTATAGGGCTGCTTTTTAAAGTTTTTTTCTTATCTAGTTTATATCTCGACTGTTCTGGGACCTCAACATTCTCGACCCACCACCATTCATTCCCTGTTTATCCATACCCGAAGGCAAAGGGACGAAACAACGCAGCCCTCTCCACCTTAACCCGGAGTGGGTCAGCTATGCCTTGACATTTTACGAAGGTGCTTCCCTGAACCTCACGGCAGCAGAGCTTGTTGATGAAGCTAAGGAACTGTTGGTATTTTATTATAGTGACCATCCATTATTTTATATAAATATATTATCAAATATATTAAGACATTTGATTATCAAATATAAACGATTTTGTCGACAGGATAACCATTTCGTCAGCGTTTTCACGAGGGGACGAATTGGGCCGCGGGGTGTTCAACAGTGGTTTTGAGAAAAACGAGTTTTAAGTTGGTCACTTTTTGAAATAAACATTTGGCCTATTTTTGGAGCACATGCCAACTAACTTTTGATACAGATAGTAAGTTGAGATCTTAAACTTCAAATATGTACCAAAATTGCAGTATCATGGAACAATTAATTGCGGAGTAACTAACCTCCATAGAGATTTGTCTGTTTGTGAAAACCCACACACCTACTGGTTTGGCAAATTGCCAGTATCCATTGCCCATACCCTTTGTGCGAATTCGTCTTTTCTTGTCTTTTTATTATATCTATTGTGAAAACTTAAAATCTCACGTGCGCGTTGCTGTGCCCTTCGCATGCGCTCCATTGACCTATTACGTAGAATCGCGTTAGAATTGCGTCAACGTAACTTGTGAAATAGTGTCCAATTTACATGATAATGGACGCAGAATGCGCCAAGTAGTAACTAGTAACGTACAGAAATTCCATGTCGTTGTCTAAGGGGGTGGCCAACGCGCAAACGGCGATAGGTATATTCGTCTCTCCGTGAAAAACTTAAATTTCACACGTGCGTTGTTTTTGCCCCATGATATAATTTGAAATCATCTCTTCGTGAAAACTCAAAATATGATTCAGATGAAATTTGTCCTACATTGATTAACATGATTTCGTTGATTTAAAGTAATTTTGACCAAAAAACTTCGCTCAAACGTTCGTTGCTGTTCACTTAACCGATTTCGGCCGGAAAAATGAATTTTTAAAAAATATGGTTTTTGGCCCAATGCGTCTCTTCGAGAAAACACCAACGATTTTTTCAACGAGAGTAATTCTATCCTATGGGTGGGGGGAGTTATGAATTTGCCGACCCCACTCATCTGGATACATAACTTATTATACTGCTATAGTGATTGGGAAAAGAGCCAACAGATGCTCAAAAAAATAAGCAGATTAAATAACAAAACTATACCCATTTACGACAGTAGGCCCCGACTTTGCTTTAAGTAGCATATTAGGCCTATATTAAGACCACTGTGCACAATTGACACTATTATCATTCCGATCGTAAGATGCCTGACAGAGATTGATAACTGTCTCCGAAAACTATTTCTGTCGTCAGTTTTCATCCATCAAACTAATTACTCGCAATTAAGGTTGATGAACTGTCATTAATTACTCATTAATTATTAGTCCTTATCAGCAAGCCAGATGGTCCAGAGGTTGGAAAGAATGTAATAAAAAGCCATGGAGGTTTTAGTTTGAGCAGTTCTTTGATGACTTCCGTCACAACTTACACAAATAATATTTCTCCTCAACGTGGTTGGTTTACGATGCTGGCTCTACTAGCGATTCTGACGGTGACCGCCGCGGGTCCCCTCGGCGTTCTGTGCGCCGGTCCGCGGGTCGACATCTCCGGTCTCGGTGCCGTGGTCGGAGAGACCGTACACTTCCAGCGTAACACCTACCCGATCCTAGACACCTACGTGGATGTCTACCGGGGAATCCCCTTCGCTGAGCCACCAGAGCGCTTTGCCAAGCCCCAGCCGAAGAAGCCATGGTCCGGTGACCTGGACGCGACGAAGTTCGGGACCCAATGCCCTCAGCCGCTGGTGAGCACCAACACAGGCGAAGACTGCCTTAACATGAACATCTGGGTGCCTAACCCTAAGGTAAGTAGATTAAACCGCTGGGTAAGTAGAGTACACATTTAATAGTAATGACAAAGAATTGAGACAGGTAAAATAACATGTGGAAGATTTTTCGAAAATGTTGTTGGTACACATCTGCATGTGGAGGCTACAGATAATCTTCCATAAGCGATATTCTAGCTTTCTCAGATGGTTGGTTAGTAATTCAGACGTCATTAACAGCAAACAATGAAGCGAATAGTGCCGCGTCGCAAGTTCCATCCTGAAATGATCATTGTGGGTTTTAACGGAGCGAGTTCTTGAAATGTTTACATAGCAAATTCAAAAAGTATTAAAAGGGGGTTATAGACACTTGGGGGCGCTGTCATAAGTACATACTGCCATGTTCATTTAGCGGCGTTTGGATTATGATGTATGTACATATATGCAATTCCAATGCAGAATTGGCTTTGACATGTGCGAGCCTTTCCCTTTTGTTGAGGGAGGAACTGTTTACTGGCGCTGGGGTGGCTATATAGATCGCGGTCCACAATGAGCCCGTTGTTACGCAGCTGTTTTGCGTATGCGTATGAGCCCAAGGTCTATATTTGTATCCCATATGTTTGTTAGCCGACCAAAGCTGCTGTCATGCTGTTCATCCACGGTGGGGCGTTCCTGGTGGGCTCCGGTTCGGAGGAGACTTACAACGGGATTTCCCTGGCCGCTTATCGTGACGTCATAGTGGTCACTTTTAACTACCGACTCGGAGTCTTCGGATTCCTCAGCACAGGTGGGTCTCAGCCTTTCACAACCAATTCTTTTACTGACATCCGCATATTATTTTAAGGGCAAAATACATTTTGGGCGGCTTCATGACCACAGAAATGTTAATCAGCCAAACCCCAGAAAACGTACGCTAAATTTATGTACGAGGGAAAAGAACATTTTCGAAATTTGAAATGAGACTACACAAGGCAAAAAACAAGTGCAAAAACGGCCAAAATATCCCCAAGATTTGAAATATCGATGACTCGGCCAAAGTATGTCGAAGCTGCATCTACGTTTCGCTTTCGTTATTTACCACCAACTGTTAATTACACTCATTACAAACCAGATTTTCCCCTCGTCTGTGTAATATTCGCAAGGTTTGGCTTTTTTTATTTTTCATTTTTCCGAATCATTCAACGATGTCTGTATTTTGTTATTACTTGTTTGCAGGGGACGGCGAGCTTCCTGGTAACAACGGAATGTGGGATCAGCTTGAAGCACTCAAATGGGTCAAGGAACATATCGCTGGTGAGTGTGTGAGTTTTAGACGATAAGCAGTGGAGCGTTCAGATGAGATGAAAAGCACTTGGGATCGAAGAAAGCATGTAATGTTTACAAGTCAGTGCAGATGTGTTCCCACAAAATGTTGAACATTTTGTCAGGAGCATAGCCTTTTGAAACATGCAAGCACTATGACAAGAGCGGATCCGGGGGGGGGGGGCAAAGGGGGCCATGCCCCCCCCCCAAAAAAAAAAAACGAAACCAATTTTTTTTTATGTGACATCGCAATAAAGGCAGGCAATGAGTACACCACCATCTTTTCCAAAAAGAAAATTGGTTAAAGTGGTCAGAAATTGCCTCAGATCGCACCACAGAGCATCTAGAATCCAAACATTTTTTGGGGCCCTTAAGCGAGCCCCGAACCCCACGCCGTAATTTTTTTTGACCCACTTTTTGGGGGGACCAAATTTTTTTTGGGCCTCCCCAAAAAATTGTGTTCTGGATCCGCCCTTGTTTTTGTGACCACTGCACTTGACATGTACATTAAATTGAATATTTGCCACGGGTAAAATTCCTCAATTCCACAATTAAAATTCCTAAAAATTCGAAACACTATTCGTATTTTACAATGTTTTGATGGCGAAACAGGGGATTTACTGGCTGTCTGCCCGGATAAAATGCCAAAGGAAGTCATTGGCCCTATACAACCTTGAAGTGAAAATGTAACCAAAATTAACCAAAGGAGGAGCCTGGGGTGGCGGTGGGCGAAATTATTTGCTGAAATATAGATGAAAATTGAAAAAACCGTTCGCCTCCTCCGGATGATTGTGAATGAATGAATGAAAAAACAGGTATTCCCGCCAAGAAATAGCGTCCTTACGCGTAACAAACTTTCTAATTGGCCCTTGCACTTTCATCTTTCTTATATGCATTTCAGCGCGCTTATTTGCACCAATAAACATGTTTCAATTGGCCACCGCAATTCTCTGCCTTATTTGCATACATTTGCACAAAATAAACACACAGGAAGGTGATGGGTCATGACACTAACCCAGCATTGTATTGCATGTTCAGGGTCGAGGGTCAATTCTTTTGTTTACCAGATGTACATGTACGTGATAACTGATAAAATACCGTACGTGCGCGTGCAGGACGCTGATTTTAAGTGTTTGCTGAGTATTATAGGGACAAATAATATCTACCGTGTGATAAAAGGTGATAATCCGTTGTAAAGTCACGGCTGTTAAATAAACCTCTGTTTGTGAAACTTAGCTCTGTCCGTTTGAGTTAACCTTGATTGGGTTTTATATCTGGTGTTTCCAAACCTCGGTTGCGTCTCCGGCCTTGGCTTCTGGAGATTTTTAAACCCCAAATTTTTGCGACTCAGGTTTAATATACAGACTAAAATAAAAAGGGGGTCCAAACCCAAATAAATACATTTCAATTTAAAATATGAAACATGTTGCACCAAAAATAATTATGACTGTTAAGCCAATTTAATAAAGTACTTCCAGATGACAAAATCACTTCAATTGCTCAATCTGTTCGAATTATATTACCTTGAAAGGAAATGACCCTAAAATTTGTTTCGTGAAATATGCGATTTCGAGAATGGCCACTACAATTGTGTTCAAGCATCATTTTCTTTGTTGTTCCAAACAGTCAGAACATTTTTACTCACCCTGTACATCAGAATGGTGCTACAGAATCTTATGATCTAAAATTTAATCTTACATCTTATAAGGACAGTATGTGTCGAGTATAACCGTTTGGTTTGGATAATAAGGATTCCTGTGTCGAATACGAAGCCATGATTTGGAGAAACCCGACGATTTTCGTTATTGCCTCGCCAACTGTGCGTGTCTAACTCTTGCTGGCCTGTTGGTATTTTTACATCATCATCATTATTTCAGACTTTGGAGGAGACAGCAACAGGATCACAATCTTCGGAGAGAGTGCTGGTGGCGTGTCGGTCAGTCTCATGACGCTCGCCAAGCAATCTTGGGGTTACTACGACAGGGCTATCATGCAGGTACGTGGGCAGTTGAAAACTGTGTGTGGTTCCCTAGTCTGGCTACCTGTCCTCATTGTTATTCAGACTTTAAATATGGGGACAGGTAGCTAGCAGTAAATGTTGCATCAGGAGGCATCCCTCCGATGTATGCAAATGAAATGCATGACGTGTACGAGACTGAATCTGCCTTCTGATTGAAAATCACAACGGTAAAGTTTGCTTTTGAAATTTGACGACTGTCAATTTTAAAGTTGAAACTTGCCTAGAAAACACAAGGAATCCGTTGCAGTCACAACGTGCTACTTAACTTCATACAGAAAGCTTATTAAAGGGAAAATACAACATTTGCAAACATCAAAAAATAAGACTACCAAATCATTTTGAAATATACCTTGCTGGACTGTTAGTGAATGACAGTGTAAAGCATCCTGTAAAATCATGGCACCTGGTATACTGTCATTTTCAAGAAAAGTGGTATTTGTGTATCAATTTCCAACGCTGGTTTTTTTTTCAAATACTGGTCCCAGTTGACCACCGCACTTGTTTGCAATCGATTACACACGTATGAACGGGTACAAGCCAGCTAGACTAGTTCCCTGACCTTACAATTCCCCAAACTTTTGAATCTGCTCTGTTTCTTCTTAATTGGATTCAGGGAACCAGACTACAGGAAAATGATTGTTTTTCTTGGTTTTTATAGCATTTTCGAACCCAAAACCTAAAAAAAAAGTCAGTGTAAATATATTTGCTATATATTTCAAACTCCCCATTTCTATCCATTTCTGAAAATTACAGCAAAAGCAAATGATGTATATTCCCTTTAAATTGTTAACACAATCTTTTACTGAAGAATGTAACGTAATTTCTGTGACAATATATTACATTTTTGACAGGTCTTCCAACTTGGTAAGTATTTAAAACGTATGTTTTTATATTTAAATTCAACAGAGTGGAACTGCAACAGCTCCTTGGGGAGTCCTTGACCCAACCAAGGCCCGAGATGACGCCTTCGGACTCGGTAGGAATGCCTTATGCTTTGCCTTTGGAAGCAGTTCTAGTCTTGTCAGCTGCCTCAAGACGAAAACCACGGACGAGATCATGAGTGCTGCGACCCCGGTACGTTAACTATGGCGAATGATAGCACAGGACCGTGAAAGCGAAATCTTAAATGGAAAATCTTAGATTTATCCCCAACCGTGGTTCCATGACAGTTTCCTATCAACACATCTACCCTCAAACACTAGCACGGTCCAAAACTGACCCATTTGTTGTTTTTGTTCTGTGAGGCATACGTTGGATATCAAATGCAAGTTATATAATTAGAGTGTACGGTTTCCCCGTTGATTGCTGGTGGATCACAAGTTACGGAAAGCTATCACCTAACATTCAATTGCATCTACATCCCGTAAATTTGAGAACAAAGAACGGACAGACCCCTACATACAACTAAGAACAATGCAGTCAGAGGAGTTGGTAGACACTTCAATATTCTGGGTCAAAAATATTTCCAGTGGAAGCAATGTACCCTGTTAACGTTCCCATATGCTTCCTTTATTTCCACACTGAGTTTGCAGTGTCACCTTCGGTTTCAACCCTGTTCGGTTGTTTTATATAATCAGTTTTATATGTCTGCATTCTTTTCTTCAGATTTTGCTGGCGGCGTTGTTTACGAAAAACAACCTGATCCCATTCGTGCCGACCATCGACGGGGAGTTTTTGACCAAGGACCCGGCCGAGCTCTTCCGACTCGGTGAGTTCAAGAGCAGTGACGTCCTGCTGGGCACCCAGCGAGACGAAGGCGCCATGATTGCCCTCAAGGCCTTCTTGCCTGCCTCCTTGGGCTCAGACCCTGTTATCAGCAAGGACCAGTTTGATGGATCTCTCAGTAGTTATGTCTTCATGGAGCACGACCAGTCGATGCTGGACGTGATCAGCGCGTACTACACGGACTCCACCCAATCCAACTACCTCCGGCCGTTTTCCCGCCTCACCACGGACGAGGGATTCACCTGTCCTACCGATACCGTCGTGAAAGCCTTTGCTGCGGCCAATTCCAACACCTACCTGTACCAGATGACCCATGTGTCCTCCTTCCACTTCGTTCCCCTACCGACTTGGGCCGACATCGTGCCCCACGCGGACGACCTCGTCTACGTTTTCGGCAGCACCTTCATGTCAGGCTTAGAACGACCTGTTCTGTTGACGGCGGAAGAGGTAGACATTTCGGTGGACATGATGCGATATTGGACCAACTTTGCCAAAACAGGGTAAGGAATTTCAGCTCTTTTACTGTACCATATATACAGTTTCTTTTTCTTCTGGTGTAGTTATAACTAGGTTTTTAAAACAAATAAGGAAAAAGAAGCAACTTGCAATGCAGTGTTTTCCTAGAAGGAACCCATTTTAAACTTTACAGCCAACATCCTTTATAATTTAGAAGTTTCACTGCGTTATCAATAATTGTTATATTGGGCATCCCGCTTTCGAACATGAGGAAAAGATCTTTTTCTCTCTCTCTTTTCCTTCATCAGTAATCCCAACTTGGAAAGCTTGAACCATGTGGAGACGCCGGATGCTAAGACATGGCATAAGTTCAACACGCAGACCATGTACTACAAGGACTTGTCCCCGTCAATGGTGGACAGGCAGAATCTCCTGAAAGATGAGTGCGATCTCTGGAACGTACAGCTCCCCAATATGGCGCCAAGGTAAGATGGCCGTTCTGCTCCTTTTCAAGCGCAATTCATACCTGAAGAAAAAAAACCCCAAACATAATCCACTATTTTTCCGGTGTCCCTTTCAAAACAGCATCGTCTAACAAAATAAGATAACATTCTTACTAATGACAACAAACGTATGCTCCACATCAAATTCAATCTGCATGAGGCTTCCTTGGCAATATCCGTAGTCGAGAATTTAGGACTTATACCAAGTATCAGGTACCAATGGCTTACAGACACCGAAGGCGTACTGATGGTAATATTTTAACGTAAGTATTTTAAGTAAGTCTCAACCTTTTTGATTTTCAGTAGACACGCCAGTAGACACGCCGGTGTGGTATCGTCGGACCTACTCTCGTTTCTGATGATCGGCCACAACTAAAAGAACAGAGTGGTATACCCAAGGGGATCGCCTCATCAGAGGTTCGTCGTAATAGCCTGCACATGAGTCGCCTTTAGTGATTCTCTGATTGAATCGGAGTAATTCAAAACCTTGATTTTGATATAATTATATTATAACATGTTGCTCTAAAGTGGTCATCTTTAAGAATTTTTGTGTCTTCTCGTAACGTTTAAAGTAGGCCCTTAAGGGTGTCTGCATGTTAACTGTCTTCTTCTCAATTCAGAATGTCCATACTTTTGAAACGAACGCAGAAATCTCAGAAATCGTAGTCTGTTGCGCCCCATATCCCAGACAAACTATTCATTATGTTTATAAATCACTTTAAGTAATTCAAAACAATACTTGCTTTTGCTGTAAACATTCCATCATGTTTTTTCAATTCCTATGTTTTTTCCATCCAATAATTTGACATTAACATAGTACATTGTAATTGTTCACCAAATCGGTCTGCAAACGACACATAATAGCTTCCAGTATACTGTTGACTAACTACAATTAGAAAAGTGCCTTCTTTTTGTCTGACAGCCATTTGTAGTCAAGTTTGTTGAGTGAGTAAAGTGACCTCAAAATCTGCAAGATACCATGTGTGTAACGTCCAACCTCGTCCCCAGGGGTCACTTGGTTTTCAACTTTGTTAATGGGTTTTTCGAAAGAAAGGAAAGCAATTCACAACATAATAATATTGCGAATTGATGAATGTTATCAAATTAAGACATTCAACTTTCTTCAGTCGATCACCCGGACAGCGGGCGTCCGTGACTAGACTAGTCAGTGTTTGGTACCAGGACGTTCACATTAAAAGTGAATGTGGACTGGCGAGACATACACGCTGTATTGTGACAATTTACAATGTCTTCGTTTAGGACATAAGGATTATCTCATCAGTTATGTGTGAATACTGAAAATCATCCGTAGCAAAATTGGGGTTTTTTTTTCAATATCTACATTGTTAAATACCTTTTCCCCAACACCTTGGCAATCTTAGGTGTAGTTTTGGCCAATTGCGTAGCAGTTATGCCTCTGCCTACTTTTGATTATTATGTGGCTGCCACCAGACTAACAGACCGGAACCTGAAGTTTGATAACTAAAGTCTAACGCACAAACCACGGTTTGTAGATTGAATTAGTTTAATAGAGTATCTTTTCTTTCCAATATATTGTTTTCTGATAACAAGGATTTAATCTAGAAATGCATTTTTTTTTTAAATTAAGCCTAATCAGTATTAATAAAAGGGAAAAAGTCGGCTCAAGCACTACAAGATCTTGCTGTGTCATTTTATTTATATGTTGTGCATTTTTGAGATGTTTATAACTTTTAATTTTGGGGGTTTTTTGGGGGGTATAAGTACTTGATCCGAATCACTTTAGAAGGTGGTCATAAAGCGCCATCTACGCGGAGTTTATTCAGTACGAAGTACGAAGATCCTGTACCTGTGCTTTATGAATTGGGCCCCAACAAATCGAATGATGTCTTCCAGCCCCCCCCCCCCCCCCTCACTTACCGCCCTCTAATACTTGTCAAATTCCAAGAAGGTGTCGGGTCCCCAGCCCCACCCTGCACCCTATATTGTTGCTAAAATACCTTCGCCTCTGAAGATCGGCCACAACTAAAAGAACAGAGTGGTATACCCTAGGGGATCGTCTCATCAGAGGTTTGATTAAACTAAAATTATTTATTAATTATTAAACCAACCAAGTAACAAGTACCATAGATTGGCCATCATTTTAGGGGTGGTGTAGGGGATATAAAAGAAAATTGACGGGGCCATCTCTGGTAAAATTGAAAAAAAGAAATATTGTTCTTAGAATGTCTTTAATTTCCAGTGAAAAAAACATTGCCGCCTTGCTCCTGAGATCCATCAGACGGCGCTCTTTCTGTCAAATTTTGCGTTGTTTTTATTAGCGCGTGTTTGGTGAAGTCACAAGCAGAACTGTAGAGCACCCTCTATTTTTATCACAAAGATTCACCATAATTATGGTGGCGCTATCGCCGAATTAATGTTCATTTCGTTTATTTACTTAATATCGGATGGTTCCAAACTTCAACTTCAGTGTTCTTTTTACGCAATTCCTCTTCAACTATTGTATTGTGTTACTGTGCCTAGGCAGACCTTTTCAGATTATCACATTGGTAAGTTTCTTATTTTTCCCCATTTTGTTGTTGTTTATGTCAATATTTCTGTCTTGGGAATTGTCGAAGATATAGATGGAAGTTAATATTTTCATAATGGCGGGTGCTAATGTTGATATTACGCATAACGTATACGTATTATCATTGTAAAAATGGCTTTAACAAATCCGTTGACCCCAAACGTGGTCTAGACACTTTGACTGGTGAGTACGGACAAGATCCTACAGAAAAAATGTAGCTAATTGGCATATTAATTGATTTGTAAAACAATAATCAAGGGTGCCAAAGTGGCACTCGTTGGAATGGTCCAATGGTTACGGTGTTCGACTCGTGTTTCGTGGTACATGGGTTCGAATCCTGACAGGGTAATATGGTGCTTGTGCTCTTGAGCAAGGCACTTTACCATTATTGCTTCGTCCTTCAGATGGGACGTAAAGCCCTAGATCCCGTGTGTTGTGTAATGCACGTTAAAGAACCCAGTAACACTTATCGCTAAAGATATGTTTCTGGCAGAGGTGTTTCTGGCACAGGCTGCAATATGCCCCGAAGCACCTTGTAAACCATATAAAGGTGCTACATAATGGGTCTCATATTTCTCATGAAAACTTCATTTTCCTGTCTTTAAATATAGACATAATTACCAGCGCCTTGAGTACCCATTTATTGGTAGATACGTGCGCTGTATAAGACTCCGGTATTATTTTTATTTTTAATTTGCTTATAAATTGATTTAAAAAAAGGCTGCCAAAGTGGCACTCGTGGGAATATATTTTGAAAAGAGAAGAAAATGGAAAACATTTTGCGGACCTTATGCATACTTCTGTGGTGAACCTTCGGCTATTATCACTCGGTTAGTGCCCGATCGGGCACTATACTCAACATTTTTTACTGGTTACAGCGCCCTCTTAAACGCACCTTTCTAAAAAAAAAAAAAAAAAAAAAAAAAGGTTCATTCTCAAAAACTCAATCTATTGAAACTAAAGGCATTCCTTAAATTGTTGAATTGCTTAGAGCGGAATTGCTCATGAGTTAATTGTTGAATTAAAACACTAAATTATTAAACCACAGGGGAGTTATAAAACACATATGGACTGGCATTATTCAGTCACAAGTGCACGTCAATGCCCCCCTCGGGCCTGTGAGTGACCAGAAGAGGGTTCTTTTATTCGAGCCATCGTAATTATTGAGAACCACGTTGATCGAGGGAGCACCGAGTGTGCGCAAGAGTGTGAGGCCAACTCACAAATAACTTGTATTTTGATCGTTGGATAAGTCTATAAGTATAAGCAAATGCGTCATTTATGTTTATAACACCTCACCCACAGATTCCGTGTCTTGATTGGCCGAGAGCGAGTCACATGGTACTTTCTATTTTTGCTATCTGGAACTCACTCTCCTCGGCTGCTGTGAACAGCGCATCACTAGCTGAATTCAAGGGACATATATCAGTAATATCCACCAGTAGTCTATTTCCACACGGCCAAAAGTACTGTACCCATAGCAACCAAAGTACTATACGCACTGTGTGCAAAATGTTTTCAAGCGCGAGCGCGCGCTATAGAGCTGGGTTCAAACATTTCGTAAAGAGGTAGTTACAAAAAGTGCGAGTTGATTTTAAACTAATTTCTTCTTCAAATAGAAGTGAATTTTTATTGTAATCAGATTAAATTAATCGCTTATCGCTTAAAATCGAGCAGAATCTGTGGGAGAGGTTTTAAAAAACAAATATTTAATCTCATGTTGTAGTAAAACTATCCTCCCTCGGTGATCCATGGAGCATTCTATTTTCCCTTGGCTTCGCCTCGGAAAAAAAAATAGCATGCTTCATGGATCACCTCGGGAGGCTAGTTTTACTAAATCACTCTAAGCATTCAATATTTGTGTAATATTATAGAGAGCTAGTATAGTTAAGGAAGATGGATATTGTCTCACTTTACCCTGAACACCACACTTTTGGGATGGGACACACTACAGAACAGAATAAATCAACAGAAATTATGTATGCTCTACAAGATGAAAAATGGGTTGGTCGACATTCCACTACACAACTATATTCAGCCTAATACCAGAGATACAAGGGGAAACAACCAAAAATTCATTCAAGTCAGTCACAAAGCTAGGGCCTTCAAAGATTCATTCTTCGTGTCAACTGTTAAACACTGGAACTCACTCTCCTCGGCTGCTGTGAACAGCGCATCACTAGCTGAATTCAAGGGACATATATCAGTAATATCCACCAGTAGTCTATTTCCACACGCAGTGCGCAAGTTAGCGTTGATGTATCCGGCAGGATATTTTGCTAACTTAAACAATGGAGATGGAGATGGAGACCACACAATGACGTCACTTGGTTCATGGAAAATTGATTTACAGATATTATAAAACTAAACTCAGATTCCGTTATACTGATTTTTTGTTGTATGCATATATTGTAACGACAAAAAAGTTATTCCACATAAAACAGATAAAGGTGACAGTTTCTAACCTTTGCTAATTTCCAAAACTTGAATTTCAATGTCGAGCGTCAAGCTATCTTTCGAAGAGTTTTGTTTGTTTACTTTTTGGGACTTTTGGGCTAAAAATTAACTCCTTATCGACATTTACCGACGCAAGTAGCTGTTGGCTAGGTCAGTGGGGTCTACTTTCGGTTCAAGTAGATAGATCTGGAGCGATAATGAGCAGTTTGGCAATTAATTTTTTTGATGCTGTTTACCACAATTCTATTATTTATCAATTCCGCTCGATCATTCGTTTCCTATACCCAAAGTCCAATGACGCACTCCGTAATGCAGGTTGATCCGGTCACGTGACACACCATTGTCACAGGGGTTGTTATAATCTAGGGTTGTTATTGCGGACGATTTTCATTCGAGCCTGGGCCAGCACCAAAACCTCATCAACTTCCTTCAGTTTCTTGTTTTAAAATTTGTTCGGTTTCCATTGTCAAGCAATATGAGCCGTCGCCAAGGAAACGAGCCACGGCCATGGTATCCTAGGAAACATCCTCGGTGGTGGCCAGTGCCACGTCAGCGGACCGCGACTGCGCGCTGCGCTTCTCGTAGTAATGATTTGAGACTAAATGTTATGATAATTGTATTAGCTTTATGATTATTCTTTACATACGGCTGAAATACATTTGTGATATGAATAATAATATATCACTTTCAGGTGTTTTTGATCTTTTTGATATGATAATATTGATAATAAAGAAAGTCAACAAGTATTTTTTTACCCACAATGAAAGAAAAATTGTCATCCTGACATAATTATTCGGATAGCAATAATTTTCCCAAACTGCTAAGTATTGAACATGTACATGTACCGGGCGAGTCAAACAAAATGTACATTTGGATACGTTTTGTGACCACATTTGGCGCTTTGTGACAACATTTAAGAGCCCAAGTGGGCCGGGATGGATACATTGCGTGCGCGTGTTGATGCATTTGTGTATGGTGCGAAATATGCAAACAAAACTTATTCTGAATTCACAGACTTGTAACAACTTTATCTATCTATTTATTTATTTATTACAGGTTTTCCCTGCGAATTTCCGAATTTTTCTAATCAGTTTATTTATCAGCCATTCAATTTCGCGTGAGTTTTGCACATGTGGTCAAATTGGGGTTTCTTTTTCATTTTGGGTTCATTCAATTTCATTTTAAGGCAGCCAAGATTTTGCGCTGAGTGGTCGTTTTCGTATTTGGGCAGCCTATTTCGTTTTGGTGCATTCAAGACTTAATTGGTAGCAGTCTTAAATTAAGTCTTTGAAACCTTTTGACTGTTGACGCATTTAAAATTAGCGAACATCTTTGCGCTTATAACGTAAAACCATGCTTTTCGTTTCTTATTCGTTTATGGGCAATCGCTTTCATAGTTTGGTCATTTAAATTAGTAAAAAAATTTAATCGATATATTTTCCTATTTTCTTCCGAGGTTCATTTCCCCCAAAAAATCTTGATGACTGTAAAATTGTCAATGTTACAAATTAACTGATATGAGGGAAACAAGATGTAACGGAATAATTAATAACATTGGTCTTGGATAATTTCTTTTTCACTCTAGCCCTTGATCTTTTCTACTTGTTTAAACGTTTGAGCAAGGGGCGTCTTTACGTTGACGATTTCTTGACGTGCAAGACATCGGGACACGTATGTTTGGCAATGGTTGTACCATCGGGAAAACTTCTCTTGCGTTGTTTCTTATGAGTGTTCTTGCGTATGTCTGATCGAACACTTACCGTATTCAAAGGGCCAATGCAAAGACAAAATTCAATCCAAACCTTGAAATTACATCTTTGTGTCACATTTAACCGTATTTGCAAGTTTTATTTTCCATTTTGAGGGGTGTTTTTGGTCACTTCTCTGTTTATATGCTAAATGCAAAAGTTTCGTATTCATTAGAAAACCTGTAATGGCATTCCGGACATGATTAATGTTACATGGCTATTTCAGAACAAAAAGTTGCTAGAATTTAGGATATTTTGCTGTCAGAAATTTCTCTTATTTGGTGATCCTTTCATGTGTCAGTACATGGCAGTAAACCAATGAGCAACCCTTTCCCACAAATGTTTTCAATTAGCAAATTTTGGATGAATAAATTGAAAGAAAAAAACCTCAACTGAACAGTTTCTTCCTGAAATGACATCACAGTAAGGCCAAAAATAATACTCGGTCTCTGGTCAGCGCGCGCGTCGATTTGACACGGAAGCTACAACTGCGCCCTCTATTGCCGCGCCTCCTCAAATGTTTGTACCAAAAGCACCAAGGAATGGGGAAATTGCACCAAGGCAAATGATAAAGGGCACCAAGGCAAATTATGGAGGGCACCAATGTATAATGGGGACACAAAAAAGCAAAATAGTACCCACCTTGTCTGTACAATACAAGCTTGAACAAAAAAAGCCACAAAAAAAAAAAAAAAAAACGCGTCGCCGCATCAATTCCGGAACTTCGGTCTGATCAGAGACCGACTATTTTTTTGGCCTAACAGCGCGCTCACACGTTGTCCGGAAAAGCATGGGAACTTTTAAATGTTTAAAGAAGTGCACTATTGAAATAAGATTAACCAAAAAATGTTGTCAAATGTGTAGTTTTCTTATATTTCACAGTAGTAAAGATTTGCACAAAAATAATTCCTGGAAAAAAAATTATTACAGACTTAATTATATTGTTTGTAGGCCTATAATAATTCTAGCACTTTTTGCGTCCCCCTGCAGCTGAAGAAAATACATGTATCGATAGAAGGAAACTAAATCCGAGCGGAAGCGTTGCCTTCAGGCAAAAATCACCATGGTGAATCTCACAAAGGTCCGTATATGTGTCATGCTGCCTCTGAAGTAGTTTTATATAAGTGTTACGAAAAAAAAAAATACAAGGCACTTTGAAACACTAAAAGTGAATAGGGAAAGCAATGCAGCTGTAATATAAATGTTTTCCTTGAGGAAGTATATTAAAGGCAATTTAGTGATTCAGAAACTTAAAATTCCTATTTAAGGGCTTAACAGAGAGTAAATGTACATTGTATGACAATGACCCAATTTCATCAAGTTATTAGAGCAAAACATCATGCTCAAGGACACAACCAATAGCTGGGCTAGAATCATCAAAAATGTCGCCCAAAATATTGTTTTTGTTTTAAAAAAATGTTGTAAGCTAAATCTCCATGGATATTTTTTTTGGCCATTGTTTATTTCCACCTCTTCTTTATGCTCTAAGGGAGATTGTGTTTGGCTGGAGGATCCAGGGAACTCTGGGTCGAATGTGCCGATCGGGGCGACGGTCAAAATCGCCCAGTCGGGACAACTACAACTGCTGGACGATGAAGGCAATGTAAGAAACGTGACATCAAATTAAATTGAAAAATATATGGTACCCGTTTGTGCCTTAAAGTATCACTGTCATTGCATAATAATCAGAATACAATGGGGGATTTCTACATATTGGACACCATTTGCAAACATTATATTTTTTCCGATTCAAGGAACAACAATAAAATAAATCGAAAGCAGTTAATTGAAAATGGAAGGTTTGGGAGAATTTTGTTTCGCTGGTGCCAGAGGGCCAGCCTAGTGTCTTCTTTGTAACTATCCGACTGATTGACTAACTGAGTGACTAACTGACAGCAAACCGTGAAGAGGGCCGGGCAGTGCTATCGTATATGATTACCTTTTAATGCTAATGAATAGGCTAAATCCAGACCAAAGTGTAGATCAGATGCATGAAAAGACTTCCAGTGAATAGCAATTATGAAACAAATAAATAGAATCTTGTACACTCTGCCTCTCTCTGACTGCATGACTGTCACTTGTGACTTCCCAGGACCAGCTTAATATTGCCTAGTTTTGGTATTCTAAAGTTTGATCTACTCTGTGTTTTAGGATCATTGGCTGTCACGCGATGCGGCCTCCAAGTTGCGCACAATGCACATTTCCTGCAAAGACGGAGTGGAGGACATGATCAGACTTGGTGACCTCCACGAGGCTGGTATCCTGCGCAACCTCCTCATCCGATACAACGACAACCTCATATATGTAAGTGTCTCGTGGACAGCTGGTGTCCTTGATTACAGACCGATTAATTAAGCCACCTCTGGTGATGTTGAGAACAATCACAGCCGAGCTTAATGTCGACTAAATTAATAACGTGCGTGCGGCCGGAACATGCATGTGTTTTGTGTTCCATACTTACGCCATGGGCGGGGCCTATAGAACCGATCGGTCTATTCGGAGTTTCTCAAATCTAACCACGGTTTTGATCATTGTATTTTCATGAACCAGATAAAAATAAGGAGACAAATAGTCAAGTTGCATTGGGTGCATTAATGGAAAACCATTTATTCTAAGGCTTCTAGGCCAGACCAAATTGAATTAAGAAATTCAACAAGGCCAAACCACATACACTAGAGTCTATATTGTAATCAAGAAAGAAAAGATCATATAACACCGAATACAAAGCTAGACATTAAAATGAAAGAACCAAAACTATTACAAAATTTGTGGCACAACTTTTGTTTACATAAAACAAAGGGGAGGGAGGTTGGGGCGAAAACTGTTGAAGTCAGTGCTGCTAAGTCTTGATTCAGAATGAAGCTGATTTCACTTGCCTTAACAATATAAATCCATTTCATGGCACATTAAAACAATACAAACTTATTTCATGGAAATGGCACCTATGAATTGTCCATCTGTTTTCATGACTCATGAGGGAGAGTGGTTGCAAGGAAACAGGATGTGGGGATCATGTGGGGCAAATGACCAACACTGACCATGAGTTGTGGTCAGTGTTTTTGTACCTTACATGCATAAAGTTTCCTGTAGTTCAATAAAACAAAAATCCCCTTGTGTTTTCCTTTGAGTGCATGGTTAGAGATTGTCGTTGTTGCTACAGAGTTCCAATATTACTATTTTGTCTGATTTAAACGTTACATAGTTGGATAGCTAGCTTCATACAGTTGATGAAAATGTTAACAGATTTTTGTTTGCACAGAAACAAAGGTACCGGATTTTTGTATGAAAAGCAATGATCAAATTCAGTTTGAGTAGCATACTATCCTATGTACACTGGCAATACAGGAGCGAACTTTCAAACAATTAATAAAACTGCTGTTAGCTACGATGATAATAAATCCGCAAAACACAGCAACCTACCAGAACTGTGATTCCTTATTATAGTGCATAAACCAATAGGTTATTCCAGTATGATGTGGAACGTCGTGAACTTTATTGTTAACTCGCCAATACCTTTTCCGTTTCTTACCTGTTTAATCCTCAGACGTTCACCGGTTCCATCCTGGTAGCCGTCAACCCATACCAGGTTCTACCAATTTACAACATGGACCAGATCAACCAGTACAAAGACAAGCGCGTAGGGGAGCTGCCCCCGCACATCTTCGCCATCGCCGACAACGCCTACTACCGCATGATACGCAGACAGAGGGACCAGTGTGTCATCATCAGGTAATATGGTATTTGTGTTCTTGGGCAAGACACTTTACTACAATTGCATCTCTCTCCACTCAATGGAGTGGATACCTGTGAGGGTGGATTCCAGGTTGTGCCAATTAATATCCAATACAATGGACCTATTGCAGATACAATTTTCGTCTACAGCTTAAACAATCATGAAATTTAAGGCTTGTTTTCGCATAAAAAAATGTTCCGTTTTGTATTCATTTCCCATACTATCGAAGTGGTGAGAGTGGTGCCGGAAAGACGGAGAGTACGAAACTTATCCTGCAATTCCTGGCAGCAGTACGGGGTCAACACTCGTGGATTGAACAGCAAATCATTGAATCCAACCCAATCATGGAAGGTACGTCGTAAAATGTTTACATGTGATTCTTATTGCAATTCAAATTCAATCGAAAACCATTGGCCAACTGGTGGTTGATTCGGGATGCAGAAACATGTGACTGTTTCCAGTCAAATGATGGTTAAAACCTCATCACAAAACTTATTCAGGTTTTCCGCAGTCATGTGGAAACCCTGGAATTCAAAACGGGACGGTATTTTTTATTTTCAAGGAGTCATAGGAAGTTCTCACTCAAACTTGCTTATTGCCGGAGCTGTCGTTGAAAAGAAACAAAAATCTAAAGTTAAGGCTGAATTCATTAGATAGTAAAACTTCTTGTGAAAGTGGCTGCTTCTAACTGTTTTAAACTTCAAACATTACATGTGATAAATCAAAATCAATCGTCGATCTGAAAGAGATATATACTCACTCAACTTCTACATTTCTGTCATTGTATTTTATTTGGATTTTCACTTTCTGGTTTTGTTCTTGTCTTTGTTTTGGCTCCACTTTCCGTGCACCTTAAAGCCTTTGGGAATGCCAAGACGATACGGAACGATAACTCTAGCCGATTTGGCAAGTACATTGACATCCACTTCAGCGACCGGGGCGTGATCGAGGGAGCCAAGATTGACCAATATCTACTGGAAAAATCCAGGCTGGTTGGACAGGTAGGTCGCAGAGTTGTAATTGAGTCAGTCACAAGTCATCACAAGTCAATCAAAAATCTTCACACGTCATCACACGTCAACCACAAGACAGTCACAAGCGATCCAGTGTCAAGTCGCAAGCTTGGTTTCAGAACTGTAATAGAGTCAGTCACAAGTCAATCACAATTCATTAACAAAATTAGTCAACAACTTTGCTTTCATGAAAAAGATGCCGAAACTGGAACACAATCCCACGCGGCTTTCTACTCCTAGACCCTCTCCGAGACACTAAGTCATAGCAGAGTCTTCGTTCCACCAGCCTCACCGCTACTAGGTCCACCCTTGCACACTTGGACAAGACGATCCCAAGCCTAAGCGTCAGCCTTCAGAACTCTACAACCTCATGACTTTACCAATAACGAACGCTTCACACGTTCCTCCAGCGGCTTCGTGGACCTCAACGGTCCACTGAACTTAGCATCCACTATTTACACTACTACACCAGCAAGAGTAATACTGTTCGAAACATATGGTTCTTCTCAGAACCACACAACTCACAAAGAGGTATCATGCACATGGTGTTACCGCAAACCTCCCATCAATCAACAACAAATAAATAACAAGTGATCACAAATCAGTCACAAGTCCATCACAAATCAACCACAAGTCACAATATAACCTCAGAGTAGTGCTTTGAGTTTGCTGGGATATTCTTACAAATTTTGTAGTTGTGTTTATTTTCCCGTTAGCTCCCAGATGAGCGTAATTACCACATTTTCTACTGCATGCTACAAGGCTTGACCTCGGATGAGAAGAGTAAACTTGAACTTGGTGATGCTAAAGATTATAGTTACCTAATCCAGGTTAGTAGACAAGTATAGGCACCATGTGCCAACAAGAGAGGGTGCTTTTTTGCCACTTTCGAGAGCACAGTGGACGGGACAAAGTACACAGGACTTATTGTATTCGGAATGTGCACATAGCTATAGCGTTTTTGCGTGAACGTCAGCTAGGCGTCGCTGGTGCTGCATTCAAATGTCTCTCCTGTTGGTTGCCCCAGCTCTCACTTTCTTTCCGTTGAGGGGATATTGTTGATGTACCCTAACGTGGCTCACTTTGAATTTTCGCCTGTAGCACCTAGCTAGAGCAAAAGTTTTAACTGAAATTTCACAAAACGTGAAATTTCATCAAGTTCTCAACAATCCCGTTCATAAATCGCGAGTTTATCTACCCGTCACAAAGTTAGAAGAAAAATGTATTTTGTCGTGATTTTCCGATTTTATTTTGAAGTTCAAAGTGAACCCTTTGAAATTGCCACGAAAAATAAGAAAATAACTTTCTGAAAAACCGCTGGTATGGTATGTAAGGAAAGATAATAATGGTTTATCAGAATTTATCAACTGTACAGAAATTCTGCAATGTGAATTTGGAATTTTCCGAGATTTATTCAAGTGCGCCATGTTAGGGAACACTCGACCAATTTTGTGCCCAATTTCCGGACGCCACCGTTTTTAATTTCGGACTAAATTTCATGACACTTAAATTGTTCATAGATGTTAAATAGCAAGCATTAATAAAGTAAAAGTGCCAGTATTTCACTACATGAATTGAGGGAACACACCTATTTTTGTGTACGTAGCCCATTACTCGGTTTAAGATATAATTAACTGAGGATTACAGTAACCTTAATGTTCAGGTAAGTGTGGAAATACATCATGGTTTAAGATATTACTGAGGAATATAGTTGCCTAAATAAGGTTATTATTCAAATACTATGGTTTAAGATAATACGTAGGATTCATTGACATTATCCAAGTAAGTATTTAACTACAACATCATTACAGCACCCTCATTGACTCAAAAATGTGGCCTATTTCCGATCATTGATAACTCCACAGGGTGGCTGCATATCCTGCGAGGGCCGCAACGATAAGAAGGAGTTTGCCGACATCCGCTCCGCCATGAAGATCCTGACGTTCACCGAGATGGAAATCTGGGACATCATGCGCCTCCTGGCTTCCATCTTGCATTTTGGGAACATCGACTACGAGGCCACTGAGACATCCAACCTGGACGCGACGGGTTTCCACAGTCACCTGGAGACTGGAAGGATCTCAAAGCTACTGGGGGTTAGTGCTTTACCTTTCAGTGTGATAAGCTCGGTGTCAGAAGTGGGATAAGATGATATATGTTATTTCGCTTCTGCCTCGCAAAAGCAAAAACACAACAGTATGGTGTACTTGTATTTGAAATGATTAAATGATTCATATGCAATTAAAGGTGGACAGTAGATAGTGCCATAGTTCTTGTTTCAACTTTTCATTTTGGCTGATTTCACGTCATCGAAATAATATAAATCAACGTTAATTCAACGTAATTTTCAGGGCGTTTCTAGGACACGTATTCAATGTTGTTTCAACGTTGACTTTATGTTGAAAAACTCAGTGACCAATCAAAATTCGATGTATGTTTATTCGACCTTGGATCGATGTACAGATTTGACCTTATCGACAATGAAAATATGTCAATATTCCGTCGCGATGTCGTCACCTGAAACCAAAAGATTATTCCACGTTATTCTAACGACGTTGGTGTCGATGTATAGTTTTGACAATGAAATTGGCATTGAAAAGATGTTGATATTCCGTCGCGATGTCATTCCCTTAAGCTAAAATCCAACATTTATTTCAGGTTATTCTAACGACAGTGGATTGATATATACAGTGGCGGTTCTACGGGGGGGGGCTGGGGGGCTTTAGAAGGGTGCATTTTGTACACTTAGTGTGAATGATTGTAGGAATTTTATCAGCGCTCTCCATTGAAAATATGGCACGAGCCACGAGCCCCCCCCCCCCCCCCCCCCCCACACACACACACACACACACCACCACCACCACCACCTATTGGTTTTTGGAGGCCTAGGTGTCCGGAGAAAATAACCGGTCCACATTTCAGTAAACATTTCAGTTAAATCAACTATGTTTCAAAGTGTTATCGATGTTCATGTTTTGTTATTATTTCAATGTAGATTCAACATTAGGATATTAACGTCGGTTCAGTTTACAAATGCGATTAATATCCAACCTATTTTCAACATTTAACCCCAACATTGTTAAAACGTTAATTCCTTACACTGTTACGTTAGCTCCAAACATTGCTTCAACGTTAAAATGCTACATTATGTTCGACGTCTGAATAATTAACAACTGTTAATTGCTGTGATGTGGGATATGGCGCCGAGGGTGCCATACACCCCGAGGGTGTTCAAAACGTCATATCCCACGTCCCAGCAGTCAACAATTGTTTTGTTATATCTCTGTCTTGGATGCTTTTGATTGTGATGTAAAAATCACGAAAACAAATGGCAGTAAACACAACAATCATAACAATCGAACGTCAACTCACATGCATGTTGCCTGCTCGAAACAGCTGATCGTCTGCTAGTTCGCTGCTCCCACTCATGTGTGAAAAAATGGTGAAAATAGCGGGGGTACCAACGATACAAGCGTTCACAGCGTACGTACCGTGCGTACAATGTCATAGCACACTCCCTGTGGGTAGGGAGTGTGCCATGACTTTTTATAAACTTAACACGTGATCGTTCTAGGCCAATGAAACTACATTATTCAAGACAGAGGTATAAAACAACGAATATCTAACGTCAGCTCAATTTTTATATTCAATGAAAACATTACGTTTGTTCAGCGTAAGAGTTCAACGTCGATTCAGCATTGAAATATCACGTTCATTCATATTTTCACATTCAATGTAAAAAAAAAAAATTGTTTCATCGTAAGGGTTCTTCGTTGATTCAAAATCGGGAAAGACGTTGGCGCAATTTTCATATTCAACGAAAGGATTCAACGTTGATTCAACGTAACTTCAACGAATTTTGCCTGCTGGGGTTTATTTGAAAGTTCTAAATGTTTTACAAAATGATTAATTTTTTTAAGTGATCTGAAAATATTAAATTGTAGATAAACCAGCGTGCCTTGGAAGAAGCGCTGACCACCAAGTCCATCAAAGCACAAGGGGAGGTCATCATCTCCCCGGTCAGTCGCCATAAGGCCATCGACATGCGCGACGCCCTGGTCAAGGCCATGTACAGCCGCATGTTCATCTGGATTGTCAGCAAGCTCAACGAGGTCACCTGCAGGCCCCCCGAGGAACGCAATGCCACACGACTCAGCATCGGGCTCCTGGACATCTCTGGCTTTGAGACCGTTGGCAAGAACAGGTACATAATAGTCATTATTCTAACTTCTAAGTCCCTAAAAACAGTAATAAAATAGACAGCAGGCTTTTAATATTATTCCAAGTTCCCCAAACATCCAAAAAGCAGTTGAACAATTCTGAAAACAGCGATAAAACATGTTTTTATCCTGTATTGTCTTGTCAGGCCAACAAAACAGGATAAAAACATGATTTCATCAAGGAAAACAGCCTAGGAAAAGTTGGTAGAACGCAGTAATTTATATGAAACAGCAGAAAAACGTGTTTCATTCCTGTTTTCTTGCCAACAAAAAAGCAGTGAAAAAAACGCGTTTGAAACAGACAAAACAGGAATTGTTCATCAAAACTCGGTGAGGTCAGCCAACTAAGCTATCCAGCCCTACGTTGGTGGTTCCCCAATTGTACATTGTCAACAGTTAGAAGCCATCTTTGTATGCAGTCAGATGCCGTAGCAATATTAGCAGTGCTGCAAACCTGGGAAATAGCAAATTGGAAATCACCTAGAGAACTATTTCGAATCATTTAATCGTTTTAATTATTAAAAGAAAGAAAATTATTCAAAGTTTCTATTTCGTTACATCAACATTTTGTTTTATAAAGTTGCACTTCTTTTTTCTTCAATTCATTTGTCTCGCCCTTTTTATCCAGCTTTGAGCAGATGTGCATCAACTGCACAAATGAGAATCTTCAGCAGTTCTTTGTCAGGCACATTTTTAAATTGGAACAGGTAAAAAAAACATGGCCTTTTCTTTTCGTCAAATATTGTACATTAATTATGTCAACAGAATATCATTACTCAACGTCCCCCTTTTCCAAAACCTTACTTTCAGAATCTTGTCAAAATGTATTCGTATTATCTTGTCAAACTGGTCAATGTATTTGCAGCTATGTATTTTATGACTTATTTAATGACCCTTAAACATTGACCCTTGACCCGCATCGACACTTGTCCCCTATTGACCCTTGACCTATGACCCATATGACTCATGATCCATGTGGACCTTGACCTCATTCACCTTAAACCCTTTGATACCTATTGATCCTTTATCCCTATTGACCTTTGACCCTGCAGGAAGAATATGACCGGGAGGGCATCAAGTGGAAGCACATCAAGTTTGTGGACAACCAGGAGACCCTGGACATGATTGCAGCCAAGCCTATGAATATTATTGCCCTGGTAGACGAAGAAAGCCGCTTCCCTAAGGTCAGTGGTATGTATAAGGTCGCATGCAAATGAGTAGGGTCAAACATTGGCGCCGGTTTAATATCCAGATCGGGTGCTGACCACAAATATTTTGCCATGTTGCAGTAAGATGAACATTTCGGAAATTGTTGTTGGTATTGACGTCAGCCCGGAATATAATTGGGGACCCAGAATTAAGAAGATTCACAGCACTCTTGAGAAACGTTCGAAAGGAAACTTAGTTTTAAATGTAAAGCAAATATTGTTGGTAAACACCATAATGGGGTCAGGAAATAAATATCTTGGCAGTGTTGTCGCCTGTCCTGACCAGTTTGCAAAGGACATCACTAACATTGTTTGGAAGTTTATCTAGGTTGATGAAATTGACAGGATAAAAAAGAAGGCCCAAAGAATTATGAGGAATAGGAATTATTGACAATCACTGCAAATTAATGAGTCTGAAACTCCAGGGGTTATCTCGACACTTGTCACTGTACTTGTGGGTTTTTTATTATTGGATTAAAAGATCTAGCGGCAACAATGCTTTTGGGTGGTATGAGTTGAACAGTTGTAAAATTCATGCCTAAAATGTCATCCCTTTACAGTGACTTCATCTACGCTTATAAAAGAGCAGGTGGTAAAATGGATGCAAGATCTACAGTATTTTGGAATATTGATACATTTTTGTGCTTTTCCGCTTAGAAGCAGAAAAGCGATATTTTTGTTCTGATTTTCCTTTCTTTTCGATCTATATCCCAAATCCCATAGACTTTGTGCACGATTTGTCTGGACACGACTTTTGTCATTTGTAAACCTTTTATGTTAACCAAACTTGGCATAAGGGAAGACAACAACCCAAAGACGGTCCGCGTATTGACGCCATGTGACAATATTCATATTTTAAAGCCCTATATCTAGAGAAGTGTTAGGCCGATTGGAAACTTGGTATGTATGTAGACAGGTGTGTGTTAATGGTACAAATTGAAAGGAAGTCATGATAGTGTCATCATGGGTTAGGTGACGTCAGTTTAAAGGTACATAAAGGTCGTAGATCTAGCTAACTGTAAGTCCGATTGGGTTCAAACTCGGCATGTAGGTATATTAGGACATGGTATAGGTAAACATTGAGTTGACGTACGGTCATGATGACGTCATCATATGATTATATATAGTTTTGAAACCACCATATATCATCAACGGAACATGCTTCATTCGAAATTCTTTTTGTAATAGGTTTGTTTTGTCATAGATATTTGTAAAACAAATTGACAAATGTGTGACGTGATGATGACATCAAAAATGCGTGTTTTTAAATACCTATATGGGAAGATCCTATCGTAATGAAACTCGATGAAAAGCTAGATAATACTGTTTTTAAATATTTAAATATTTCATTGGACTCACATAAAAAGAAACTGACTTAGCTCTGATCGACTCTTAATTACAAACAGACAAATACCAAATTGTAAGTATGTGCATTGAAAAGTGCCGTCGTCTTGACGTCATCAAGGGCCATGTGACGTCATCATAAAGGTGCATTTTTCAAAGTCCTATATAAAGAGAACTAAAAGTTCGATTGTGTTGGAACTTTGTATGTTTATAGATAGGGATGTGTTATATGAGAAACAAATAAGTGACTCGTTATGACGTCATCGTGAGATTATATTTAGAATTTTGAAGTTTTGATGATTAACAAATGTAAACAAATATGCAAATGGATGAAAAATGCATAAACGTTAAAAAAAAATTCAAATTGCGGAATCGCCCTATGTTCTGTTCATGAAACAGACATAGACCTCTGTAATTGATTTGATATTGCAGTGAATGGAGTCTTGAACTCCAATGAGAACAATCAAATAAATAAATAATTAAATAAATAAATAAATAATTGAGTAATTAAATAAACAATTGGTGATTTGTCCCTCCAAAGATGATCACCCATATCCCCTGAAGCCCCTCACCATTTAATTGACTGATTTAATTCAGGGCACGGACACCACCATGTTGAATAAGTTGAACAAGCAGCACGGTCGCAACCTTCTCTTTGTCCGTTCCCCGGGGGCTCGCAGCACCCGGTTTGGTATCAACCACTTCGCTGGGACCGTGTACTACGAAGCTGTTGGTAAGGCGGCGTTCTGTTCTAAACGTTCAATTCATTTGATTTTTTTTATTTGCCACAGCGGATTGATTTCGGCACGGCGCGGCGGGCATAGTTCTTTGTCTTAGCAGGGTTTGCCGTGCTGTCCTTGTTCTGAACGATGGTGGCACATCACTGTTGCAGATGCCGTGCCAGTGTCAGTGCCGTGCCGTACTGAAGTCAATTCGAAATTGGTGCAAAACATTTAGGGATGCTCACAATGACCTCTTTCACATCGACAATACGGGGAGTGAATGCGGCGCGATTACTGAAAGTGCAATGCAATGCCTGAAAGATATTTTAATCATGGAATGCAACTCTTGTTTGACATTTTGAGAAACTGCCGTCCTATATATAGACAGGCTAGTTTAAGCCCAATTCAATTGAGTTTCACACAGCGGAATTTGTTTTTCCTTAGAATTTTGTAACAAGTTACAAACTTTTTTCCTTATAACCTTTTCCAGATACTTAATAAGACTCCAAGGTAATATTTAATTGTGTTTGAACATCAACCAGGTTTCTTGGACAAGAACCGTGACACCTTCAGTCGCGACTTCATCGAGCTGATAAAGGCGGCCGGCAACAACTTCCTGAGGCATCTCTTCCAGATGGACATCCAGCAGAGCGGAGACTCGCTTAAGAAGACGCCCACCCTGGGCACGCAGTTCAAGAAATCACTGGACGCACTGATGACCACGCTCAGCCAGTGCCAGCCATTCTTTGTTCGCTGCATCATACCAAACGAGCACAAACGTGCAAAAGTAAGAGTGGTTGTATTTTTAAGCCTGCTTCTTGAGCTGACATTATTGAACAAAGCAACCTCAGCAGTCCAAATAAATTGAGTGAACAGTCGAGCGCTCCTTACCTTCATAACACATGATTAACTGGCCGTTACACATGATTCACAGCATAGAGGAAGTTTCGGCACGAACTATGGTTTAATAATCATAATAGTTTGACTAACTTTGCTCGAGCGAATGATGGTACTCTAGTGGAATATTTGGTAACAGACTACAGGGCGCTGCTGCATTGCTGGTTATCAAAGCCGCACGCATAATATAGCACAACGGGGAACCAGGACTTGTGACCAGAGGCATTCAGGCGAAAGTTATGTCAACCACCAGTCGACAATTAAATGGTCCTCCCCCGAACTTGCTCCTAGAGGTCCCAATATTTGTACACACACGAACATTTTTGTTATTTCATCATTGAACTTCAAACAATTGTTTTCCCCCGAGGTTAATGTGCCTTTTGTTGTGCTTTATTGCTTACTTTCTCCGTGAAACAGGCAATTCGGTTAAAGCAGAAAGTCACGTGCTTAAACAGCGCCACGACTTTGGGCCCAGATTTTTCAAATTAAGCCCTCAGTAATTTTGTTCATTCTTATTCCCTTTGCTTGCCAGGAATTTGAGCGAGATCTTGTGGCCAGGCAGCTACGTTATTCGGGCATGATGGAAACCATCAGGTAAAACAGATTGGTTACCAGACAAAATAACATGTCTATGCACGACTCTTAGTTGGACACTGCTCAGCTAATTTTCGCTTACCGAATTGATAAGCAATTATTCTGCTTATTACCAAAATGAAATGAATGGTGACTGTTTTGTTCGTTGGAATTACTCGTTGGAATCACACAAGTTTTAAACATCGCTGAAAAAAAACGTTTTCGTTACCTGGCAGGTTTATGCATAATCATGACAATATAAGTAAAATAACAAGGAATGACCCAGCAAGTCAGGAGATGTCTACGTGAATGAGATATGATTTTTTTTTTTACTGGTCACAGAGGGCAATCCTAGTGACCTATTTGTACCTATATGACTGACTGACTGCCTGACTTACTCACTGTCACTTGTGAGCCAGGCTGCGCTATCTTTAATATAGACCAATCCGGTCACATTATCATTTCTATCACGAAGGCCCCCCTCAATGGCGAAAGCATTGTGCTAGCTATTGTTCACATTACTTTTTGAATGGAGCATACAACAAAAACAAAACTTGGTCCACGACTAGTTATGCAATAATTCACCACAAATTTCAACTTACTTGCGGCTAGACAATAATTTATGTTTCATGAGTAGCCTGGGTCCTGCCCCTACTTGGATCAGTAACGTTTAGGCTGGGAACCAGTCTATTCACAGTGGGAATGGGATTGTGGACACAAGCAAACCAAAATATAAACCTTTGTAAGAGGGATGTAGCCGCTAAAAATGGAAGGGGAAGAAGTGTGTTTTTTGGGGGGGGGGAATAATTGACAATTCTTCAGAGAAAAATAACATTTTCTCGAAATCTCACTCCTTTTCCCGCCTTATCAATTATAGGATCTGTCAGGCGGGCTATCCAATCCGACACACTTTCAAGGAGTTTATCGACCGGTACTGCATGCTGGTCATGGGTGTTCAGCCCTCGCACAAGGACGACTGCCGAGCTGCCTCGACTAGGATCTGCAAGGCGCACCTTGGTAACCAGGATTGGCAGCTTGGACACCACAAAGTCTTTCTCAAGGTATCGGGGGCAGATCTAGTAGTGGGTTTTTGCAGTTTGTGCACCAACGTTATTTCACAGACACAGACACTATACACTTGGTACTTGGTTGGTGGTCCTCCGAAATATTCCATCTAGGGAATTTAAACTGGAGGTGTGGCACCAGGGTTTTCAAGGTGCTGTGGCCACTGCCAGAAACACCGGGGCGAACCCCTTCTCTTAGCGACAAGTGTTACTGGGTTCTTTAACGTGCATTACACAACACACGGGACCTACGGCTTTACGTCCCATCCGAAGGACGAAGCAATAGTGGTAATGTGCCTTGCTCAAGAGCACAAGCACCATGTTCCCACGGCGGAATTCGAATTCGAACCATGTACCACGGCACACGAGTCGAACACCGTAACCATTGGACCACAGCACCACACTGTATACTGAATTCTGTTACTCTTCATAGTTGGCATTTCATATCTTAATTTCACCTTTCTGTGGAATCTGTCATTAATCATTAGGTTAGTGTTCATGACATCAAGGTTTCGGTGAATGAGTAGTTATTCTCACATTATTTTACGAAAATCATCAAATTTACCAAAAACTTATTAATATTTTTTTCTTCCAAACAATACCACTTGAGGTGGAATTATTTCACAAGGTATTTTGGTACCAGTCCTTTTGGCACTTTGAGCAAAGTTTTTTTCGTTAAATCTGTGGATTCATTTACGGGTATGTAACAATTGTTGCTAAGTGCATTTAAAGGCATATGGGATGATTTGCATTTATCCCAAAAGTAACCTACCAAATTATCATCGAAAAGCTTACTTGGATTAAAGATGGTACTGGTATTAAACACCCCGTGAAATTATTCCGTCTGGCTTGTTGTCATTTAGAAGAAATCAAGAAATGTAGGTGATTTCCAGCGATCAGTCAATTGACTGATTTTTGGAAATACAGCATGCTGTTGACGAAAATAGGTTTAATAATCCAAAAATTGTGCAAGGTTTTTCACTGTTTTCTTGAGAAGTATAATCCACTGACCTGAAATTTCAACAGGTTAGGTATTGAACTTTCTTCTTTAGATTAAAGTGGTGTGATTATTGGAAACGAAAACAATGCACAAAAAGCAAATGATCCTTTGTGAATTTAAAGGTAATATACAATTATTGCAAACATCAAAAACCAAAAATATCAAATTGTTATGGATTTCTTTACTTGAATGTGAGTAAATAACAGTCTTAAGCATCCTATGAAACTATGGCACCTGGTGTGCTGTCATTTCCAAGAAAGTTGATTTTTTTTAAGAAGGTTATTTACGGAGTGATTGATTGACTTTGTTTTGTTTTCCCACAGGACACCCATGATCTACATCTGGAGCAGGAGCGAGACAAAGTGCTGACGGCCCGCTGCATCATCATCCAGAAGACGTTCAGGGGATGGTTCTATCGCAAACACTTCCTGAAGATGAAGAACAGCGTCACCATCATCGCCAAGGCCTGGCGCAAATACGTGTATAGGATCCGCTATCTCAAGGTGGGGGCTGAATAAAAATATACCCCTCCCATAACATTTATCCATCAAAGTCAGTATTATGGGCTAGCTCTGTGCAGGAACAAGAGAGGGCGCCTTTTGACCAATACGAGAGCCCAGTGCAGGAGACACACCGAGTGTTCGCGTATATAACGCGTAGTATGTACGACTGATTATATTCGAATGTGCACAAAGCCATAGCGTCTTTGCCTGAGCGTCAGGTGCCAGCAGCAATGAGTTTGAATGTCCCCCTCAGTATAGTATAGTTTTCCCCAACGCTCCCTTTCTTACCGTTGAGGGGGTACTTGTACACGGAGCCATTAGTTGAGTCCCCTAACGTGGTGCATGTAATGATTGTCCCCCGGTTGACTTCTTTTAATGTTTCCAAACCTCATAACTGAGGAGCTTCAAATTAATTCAGTGAAGTATTTTTCCTGTATAACCTGAATGAAACTTGGTACGGAAGCCCTTGTGAAAAATGTTAGTATCGTGATATTTCGTCTGAAGTCAATAAAGGTGGTGTCCAGAAATTGAGCCAAAATTGGGCGGAGGGTTCCGTAACATGACCCACTTGAACAAATCCTATATGAACGTAAAACAATTTCTTTAAAATTGTCAGCTAATGTTAATTGTTATCTCCACTCACAAATTTAGCTTCACAAATTGGACATGATTTTCTGATTTTTTTGGTGCATGCTAAAAGCGACCATGCCCACCTTATCCCTAAAAGGGCCGGGCTATTTTGACCATCTCTCAGCCGGGGGGGGCGGATTCCGCCCCCCCCCCTCCCTTAGATCTCGGCCATCGAGTGACGAAAAATTGTGATACTCGGTACATGCATAGAACAACTTATCATAAACATATCCAAGAAATGTCATGACTATAGGTCAAAGGGTTTTGGAATAATGGCTAATTAATTATCAATATGCACGAATGGTACTACGTATATGGGGAAATTCAGTTTTCAAGGCGCGTAGCGCCGGAAAATTTGTCGCTGCGCAGCAACTCGTGGTCCGATTTTTATGTTTTTTTATGAAAAAAAATTGTCAAAGTTATCGCGGAAAAAGTTGAGGGGGCGGATTCCGCCCTTGCCCCTTTAGGGTTGAAATACATTAGAAAATTGTGCTAAAAATAGCATTTCTCTCTTGAAGTTGCAACGGATAATGTGTCAATTGAAATACATAATTACTTATGAGTTTTGTCTGGTTTGTTTGACCACAGATGAAGCGTGGCTATCTGCGTCTACAGGCTGTGCTGCGTGGGAGAGTGCTGAGCTATCGCTATCAGTTCTTGCGAAGGAGAATTCTGAAATTTCAGGTTGGTTTTTTTTCAGCAACTGGGTAGGGTTTCAAGGAAGCTGTAACGTCAGAGTTGTTTTGTAATAAGAAAAAAAGAAAAAAAAGACAAAATGCAAGTATGTTGCAGAAGAGTAAATAAACTTGGTTATAGTGTTCGACGCATATGTCATGGTACGCGGGTTCAAAGCCTGACGAGGAACATGCATGCTTGTGTTCTGGCGCAAGAGGCGTTACTACAATTGCCTCTCTCCACCTAGGAGTATAAGTGGGTAGCTGTGAAGGGAGAGTGCGGATCTCGAGCAGCTGCTGAATAAAAAAGGTCTCATGGGCTGATGAACAGGAGTAATCATTGTGAAGCGCTATGTAAAGCACAATATAAGCACCACCTTGTTATATCAAACACCGCAAAAAAGGAACGTCCACACTCATTGGAGGGTCATAATATTGAATCTGATCGTCTTATGATAACATCATGTATATAAAGACCCTTTTAGGAATGTTGTAAGCTACATTTGGAAACCCCGTTTGCTACCAAAGACTGTAAGTCGTCCAACATTGACAACGGTTTAATGAGAAATGATGCAATTTGAAAAGTTGCACATTTAAAGAGTACGCGAGTGGAGATTAGTGACAATATGTCACACTGCCCGAAACGAACGACAGATAGTATCGATCGCACAGTGCTTGCATGCATGGGAGCATTCAAATTGAATTACCTGTGCTTTGTTTGGGCACTGTGCAGTCGATAGGGGCCAATTACGGGCATGTGTGGTTACGCTTAGCAATTTAACCTCTCGTAATCTTTACATTTTCAACTTTTCAAACTGCATCATTTTTCATAAACCATTGTCAATCTTGGACGATTTACAGTCTTCGGTAGCAAACGCGGTATCAAAATGTAGCTAACAACATTCCCCAAATGTCTATATAAATGACGTCATCATAAGACGATCAGATTTAAAATTATGACCCCTCCAATGAGTGTGGACTTTTTCTTTTTTGGCAGTGTATATTATACATTATTAAGGGAATAAAATCCAAATCCAGCCTTGTACCAAGAATAGTATTTCGGTAGTGGACAGCGGATAGTGAAGTATTTGTGTCCCTCATACAAATTTAGTATTAATTCTTTGAAGGAAGTTTGATAGTTGATTAAAACCGTAATATGATCTCGTTCTTCCCTCCACCCCTGTTTTGTCAGGCTCACTGTCGCGGTTACCTCGTCCGCGCCGAGGTCAGCCACTACCCAACCAGCATCGTCAAGATCCAGGCCGGTTTCCGTATGGTGTTGCAGCGCCGCCAGTACCAGAAGCTGTTGGCGGACTACCGGCGACGCAAGGAGGCGGAGCGCATCCGCCTGGAGGAGGAGAAGAAACTGAAGAAGCAGATGGGAGCCAAGAAAGCAAAGGTAAGGGCCACTGCATGAGCACTACATTAAAAGCAGCCAACTGCACAAGAGTTTACGTATTGGCATACATGTATCTCCATATCGTCTAACTTTTATTTTATTTTTGGCGTGATTTTCCGATTTTATTTTCAAGTGCAAAGTGAATCCTTTGAAAATGCCCCGAAAAATAAGAAAATAATTTTCTGACAAACATCTGGCTGGCTATGTAAGTAGAGATAATTTTTATTTATCAGAATTTATCAAGTTTACAGAAATTCTTAAATGTTAATTTGGAATTTTCCGAGATTTATTCAAGTGCACCACGTTAGGGAACACTCCGCCAATTTGTGCCCAATTTCCGGACGCCACCGTTTTTGAATTTCGGATTAAATTTTATGAAACCGAAATTGTTCACAGAGGTTAAATAGCAAGCCTTAAATAAGGTATAAGTACTAGTATTTTACTGCTTGAATTTGAGGTTTGTCAACAAAGAGGTTTAGCAACACTACACGAGGAAAGTCGGGTAGGTTTTGAAGTGCGCCACGTTAGGGAACACGACTATAGGTATTGGGCAAAAGTACAACCCAATATTGAATGTTTATCACCCCGATGCAGATTCCATCTTTTGTTTCTGCTATATCAGGTTCGAATTAGCCAACCCACCACGGTACGTTCCGTGCTTGAGTAGTAAGACGTCTGTATAAGCAGGAGGCCATTTACTTGATCATTGGCACACATTCATAGTTTGCCTAAAAAAACACCTTATACACACACACAAACGCACACATTCCGATGATCTCAAACTTGGAGCTTGGATTTCAAACCCTTTGTCACATCTTCCGTCATTTTGTCTCTAATCGCAGGAAGAGGCCGAGAGGCGAATGCAGCAGCGCATCCAGGAGATGGAGGAGGCCGACCAACGGCAGGGGCTAAAGGAGGAGCAGGAACGCATCGCAAAGATGGAGACCATTAAGGAAGCCGACAGGAAACGCAACACGGAGCAGTCCACGGCCGAGGTAGTAGACGATCTCTTCGGGGCATTTGACGATGACGGACAGCCCGTCCATGCCCCTAGAGGATTCGAGGTGCGTATATTAGGATCGTTTTGCTTTTCATACATTTCGTTTCTTTCCACCAATTACAACACTCAAAATCCAAAGAAGAATTTTTAAAACCTAACCTGTCGAAGTTTCAGCTCAGTGAATATTACACTTTCGAGAAAACGGTGAAAAAAAACATGCATAGCCTTTTGATCTTGAAACACGATTTCACTAAAAAAAATCAGTAACATTGATTATATTCGTAAACAAACCACGGGAACAAGTACAAGAGGTAATTGTAATAGATGGAGGAGTGATATTAAGTTAAAACCTACAAAAGCAAGCCGTACATAAATGCAAAACTGAAAATATCGCACTGAAAATCTCCAAATTTCACATGTATATATGCAAATCCGTGCAATGAATGCCTAATCTCGTTGACGAGAAACTTGAGATCTTCAGTTGTGAAAAATGTTTTTGTTTATTTTGTTGACATTCCTCCTGTCAGGATTGGAGAAGTCAAAAATACAAAACTGAAAATATAACTCTCAAAATTTCAAAATTTCATGCAATATACGTCCAATGAATGCTCAAACTGGTTGACAAGCAATTATCTTGAGTAATGGAACAAAATTTTGTATATTTTGTCGGCACTCCTCCTGGCAGGATTTGGAGAAGTCGCGTCGGGCAACCATCGAGTTTAGCCCAGGCGATTACAAGATGGCCCCCGCAGTGCCCGAATCCGAGGAGGACATATCGGAGTACAAGTTTGCCAAGTTCGCCGCCACCTACTTCCAGGCCGGGGCCAGCACCTCGTTCATCAAGCGTCCCTTGAAGGAACCACTGCTGGACCCGAGGAATGAGAGTGACAGACAGGTCAGTGTATAACATTCAGTCTCTTTTACATGTTAGCGCCTGTAATATTGTATTGATACCCTGATGAATTCATAACACCATAAGTGCTGGGGCGGTTACAGGGAGTAATAGACAGGACGGTTTGGGATGGTGAAGGGACAAATGATGTGACGTTCACACGTTTAAACATTTAAACGAAGAACTTTCTATATCCGTTTACGAATTTTCAAAAACGTTCAAACAAAACCGAATTGTAAACAAGGGACCAACGCGATCTTTCTTTGAGTTAAACATACATGTACATAGCACAAATATTTATCAATATTTTCCAACCTATTTCATTCACAAAACCCCTAGAAGCAGCTGTGCAGGTACATTTGGGGTATACATAGTTATGTTTTAATGACTGCTCTTTATTCAATATGTCAATCATTGTTGATTTATCATGTCAATCACACTAAATGACTGCAGACATAATGGGCAGGTGAAATGACGAAACGTGAGATGGCTAAACGTTTTTAAACGGTTTTTAAAATAATTGCTAAATATTTACCAAAATTGTGATGTCACGATTTCATGATTGCCTTTGCTTTTGCGGCAATATGAACTGGCTGTCTTGTTTGGGGTTGGAAAAAAATTGGTTTGATCCAGTGTTCTTCATTTTACCTGTGTCACGATTCCTGAAGCTGCATAGATATGTCACATATGTTGTTAATATTGACAATCGCAGGTCGCGACAAGTAAATCACACTGGCACCGAAACCCAAGAAATTCCGAGCATACCTCACGCTCAATATTCCGGCTTACATGTGTGTGCTCGAGGTGGTATGCTCTGAATTTCTCAGGCCCCAGTGTCATAGTTCCCAAGACCGGATTTGATTCATTGATTAGGGGAACATGATCCAAATGCAGTCTTAAGGGGAGAAACAATTAACTGATGATACTGACCGACTTTTTCTGTTTTGGTCTACTAGGCTGCCTTGGCAGTGTGGATCGCCATTCTCCGTTTCATGGGAGATCTTCCGGAGCCCAAGGCCAAGTCTGCTTTAACCAACAGGGTAAATTGTCTCGATGTTTTTTGCATTCTTATTTTTTTGTATTTCCATTCTTGAAGTCAGTTACGGAGAATACACGAGAAAGTGTGGATTCGTAATTTAAGAATTCACGAGGCGCGAAGCGCCGAGTTAATGCGTAAATTAAGAATCCACAATTGCGAGTGTATTCTTCGACTTAAACCATTGCGTCAACAGAAGTGTTGGAAAGAATGTTGCAACCTGACGCCACTTTTTTTCTTCCTATATCATCTCAATGAAAGCCATTCGTTGCAAAAATGATAAGACATCAATCTGGGACTGATAAATGTTTCCAAAATTATTAGGGAAATACTTGAAATGACTCTCCATAGACGTTGTACACAAGCGCGGAAGTGGCGTCAGGTTGCAACATTGTTTCCTGGCGTGTTTAGCATGTGTAAGTCATTTTGTGTGTATAGGCTCCTTACGTCAAAATGGATAGTTCAGACGACGATTTCTTTCTGACTAAAAGTAGATTTTGCAGTGACGGCGGAAAATCTGACATTTAAGATGCATTGGTAATTTTCGGAAAGCAAATTTTCATTTTTATGGAGAACAATATTGTCCGACGTGTTCAAAGTGTGGATTCGTAATTCCGAATCCACATTTTACTAAAGATTCCTCTTTCCGAATCCACACTTTGTGACCAGTGAAAGAGATTCGTAGATCCGAATCCACACTTTTAACAATAGTGTGACGTCAAAGCAGCGGTTTAATCTGTGTCTATATCGTCTCCAGTCTTATCCAGTACATACTTGAGCCACGTCCGAATCTTTTGTCTAGGGCTATATTGCCTAGGTCTTTCATAATTACAGCAACATTGGAACAGGCTGACAATAGACGTATCCATAGCTCTGGAAGCCAGTTTCCACTACTCCATACCCGCATTTTCACCGAGCTTCAAATTTTGAGAAAAAGGTTCTGCTTGGAAAGCACCCAGGGCACCAGCCAAAATTGCTGTTTTGTGTTGGAGAACATGGAGGACGATGGCATGGTAGTAATTAAAAATAAGAGTCTTAGTTGTCATGAGTTCATCACGGTTCCCACAGCTTTGGAAAAAAATCCCGAAAAATCCTGTAATTGAAAGTTACCATAGAAGTCATTGAATAGTTATGGGTTTTTGTTGTTTTACAAGGAGCGATGAACGGCTGATATTTGAAGACAAGAAAACATGGCGAAGTCATGGAATTCTGCACAACCCAAACGTGATGATGCGTAATATCATTTAGTGCATATATGCAGTTTATATAATATTGTTGTGTTCAGATCGAGCTTTTGTAGTGCCAGGAAATGCTAGAACCCCGGAGGCCGCTGACAGGATGCCAAATAAGTGTTTGGTGACATGTAAGCTTTTTTCAGTGAGATGACTGGCCAATGTATTGTAAATAGGTTCCTATATTCAACATGCCAAACAATTTGAACTTAATTTTAGTGCATTTTTTTTTATGTGATGATTAAGTTCTTGCTAACTTGGCTACTTTTCCTATTTCTGCTATTTTTTAGCGTCAAAAGCAAAGTATCTTGAAATGTCAAATTCACTCACTCGCTCCGTCGACCCAAGAGGCTGCTTGAGACGAGCGCGATGATGCACACGCCACACATCACGAATGTTCATGCAGCTAGCAAGCTCATCAGTCGTCTCAACTCCTGCATCAGCCTTCATTGTCCTTATCATGGTCTTGATTGGCCTCCCTCTGCTTGGTTTTCCGTCCTGAGGTTTGCACAGGATCACCCGACTTGTTATCATCTCTGGATGTCTGTAGCAGTGCCCAGCAAGGCTCAGGGAGGCTTGACCTGAGACCTGTTGCAGGTTGCCGTAGAGCTCGGTGTTCGTCATATGGGCCTTCCAGCTGACCATCCGGGTGTAGCACACGTCGTCGAGTGACTTGGTCTGGGCTGCTGTGAGAGTCCACGACTCGCTACCGTAGAGAAGAATCGTCTCAAATGCCGCTTGGTCGAAGTATCTCAACGTGAGCGTCTTTGACAGGCTGGACCTCCAGATTTTCGTCGTGTCATTTAGAGCTTTCCACACCAGAGCCTTCCGTACCTTGATGTCCTTCTCAGTACTCTGCATCCTGGCGCCCAGGTACTTGAAGTCATTAATGAGCCTGAGAGACGCACCGCCGTTGGTCGTCAGAGCATCATGGTCGCCGGTGTTGAATACCATGTGCTCCGTTTTCTTGGCGTTGCGGTGTAGCCCTACTTTCTCACACTCCGACTCCACTCAGTTCAGCAGCTCCTGGCCTCTCTGATTTGGTCTGATAACAGTGCTATGTCATCCGCAAAGTCCAGATCAGACAGGGTATTTGGACCGATTTTTCTGGACGTCGTTGATGTTATAGTGAAACCCAAATCCTCGTGATCCTTGAGTGCTCGTCTCAGGGTGTAGTCGAAGACTATACTGACCTAAAAAGGCGCCAGCGTGTCACCTTGAAGGACTCCAGCAATAATGTCAAACACGTCACTGTCTCCATCGAGGGTGACAACTTTGGCGGTGGTGCCTGTGTAAGTAGCCTCAATTGCTTTGAGAAGTCGAGAGGGGACTCCATATGCCTTCAAGATCTTGATCACTTTGCCTCGCTGGATAGAATCGAGGGCCTCAATGAAAGTCAGTACAGCGGGCAGATTGTTCTACTTGACCTCTTCAATGATTCTTCGGAAGGCCAGGATTGGCGCGACTGCAGTCATCTTCTCTCTGAAGCCGTTCTGGTTAAATATCGGCTTGGGGCCTATGGCCGTCCTGATACGGTTTGAGATTCAGGCGGTTGTAGATCTTGGCTAGGACATGTGAGGCTGATGATGACCCCACGCTGGTTGTCAGTCTTCCTCAGGTTCCCGGATTCGGGGACCGGGATGATGTTGGAAGGACCAATGGTCCTTAAATTAAATAATATAGTTTGCTATCTAACAAGTCATCTTGAATTAAAGAAAATACTATTACTAATAATAATAATAATTTTGTGCCACTTTTCCAGCAACCGCAGTCCATGCGTGTGCATACCGATCGGACCAAAAAGAGCACCATGTCCAAAAACTTGGTGACCCTGACCCTGAAGAAGGAGTACGGAAACACCGTGGTGATCGACCGACCAACCTCCAACCTGGAGAAGCTGCGTTTCATTATCGGACATGGCATCCTGCAGCCAGAATTGAGGTGAGTCTATGAGTCAATCCATTAATGAGGGGTCCAAATTTAAAGCCGGAGTCCATCATTTGCAGCTATCCAAAAAAGTAACTGGCGTAATTATTGTTGAAAAACATACTGGTTGAAAGATAGTAAGGGGACTAAACTCCCTGTGAAATTATTCTTTCTGGCAAGCTCTCATTTTGAAGAAATCAATGAAAGAAGGCATTTCCAACGGTGCGTCTTAAGAAGCATTGGCACGACGCACAGGCGGTTGCTATAATTCGTCGGATCAGTGCGCGACATCGCGTAAAGCTGCAATTCAAAACATGATTTAGTAACTTTTGATTTGAAATTGAGATCCTAGAATGCTGTTTTTCTCGGAATATACAGCTGAAGCTGAGCTGAAACTTCATCAGGTTAGTTGTTCAGTATCCTTCATCAGATTTTGAACACTTTTGTTGCTTCAAACGAACAAAATGCACAAATTACAAATGATGGACTATGTCTTTAACCAGTTTCTCGTTCCTGTCCGCTTCCTTTTTCCTGCCCGCCTCCTTTTTTATTTCATGTATTTGCTAGCGTATTATATTTTGCAAATACAGTGTCAAATATTGTCTTTTTTGTTGTTTCCAACAAAATTGTAAGTATGTAGAAAGGGTGTACACAATTTTGTATCAGCAAAAGAGTCAGGAAAATGAAGGAATCCATCTGCCATCTTGAAAAATCCGCCATCTTGGGGAAAAAACGCATGCCACCTTCATTTTTACAGAAAGCCTGGACAAGAAACTATTTTGTTTTGCTCGGCCTTGTCCCGACCTGTGCAATTTGCTATGCAGCTATCCTTGAAATGGACTTCAAACTATCTATTATGATATGTTCAGCAGGACAGGCCCGTATTATCCAATAGGCACGTACAGTAGGCACTGTGCCTAAAACTTTTGGGACCTACGAAAAATTCGTGTGCCATATAACAAAATATAAGCCTATCTACACACACACACACCCACATGCAAAGAAAAGTAAAACGTTTTGAAAAGTTTTAGGGGGCCAGAATGATCGCTTTGACCAACTGACGCCGTACATCGTGTAGGCATACATGTAAGCCCTACGTACAACATTTACGCGTAAAGTATGTCGTTTCTGAAGCTCGGTGCCAACCTTGGGAGACGATCGGTGGGGACGCGGTTGACATGTCGTCCCCCCCCCCAACTATTTTCGTCCCCGAATGCAAAATTGTAGCCTACATTTTGATTCAATAGCTCAGAATAGCTGATTCAATGACTCCAAATGCGAAACTGATGTTGATCCTTTGCTAAAAAAAAAATGGGTGAAGTGGTCAGAAATTTCGAATATCCAAATATTCGATCAAGTGATTGGGCGCCATACCTCGGCCTTGAAGCTTCCTCTACTGAGGACGCGGAAGCTGAGTACGAAGTGAATAATGTAACGAATTGTATTTATTGAGTGGTCGGGCACAACCCGACCACTCTTTGGATTTGTTGCGATTAATCTTTCTTTCTTTCTTTCTTTCTTTCTTTTTTTTCTGCATAGCACGTTTCCGCGGGTTTTCTCCTAAACGGTATATGATATGAACTTGTAACTTTAAACATATAAGGACCCTCACTCGGAGTGGTGCACATTACACTGACGTCATAATGACGTCATCGGGTGTCAAATTACAAGCGATTTTCGTTGAAAAAATGACGATCTTCTTTCATCTATAACTCTTCAACAAAATTATCAATTTTGCTCCAATCTTGTAAACAGATAGACCATAAATTGATAAACATTTTTTGTTCCGTACGTGAACTCACTTGACCTTTACTTCCGGGTCTACCGGAAGGTCAAAGTTGGGTGAATTCAAAATGAAGACATTAGCCTGAAATCAAAACAAAGCACAATTTCTTCCAAACGGTTTACGGTATGATCATAAAACCTTGTGTGAACTTTTACCATGTTACGGAGATGTTATAACTGCTGTTACGTCATCATGACGTCATCAGGTATCAAATTACAAGCGATTTGATTGCACGATTTGACAAAATACTTTGACCTATATCTCTTGAACTAAATAGAGTATCGTGTTCGTTTTTTCGTGAGGTTGTAGACGGGGCCTTGAGCAACATTTCTTATTCCCGGGCACAAAACTGCTTGACCTTTACTTCCGGTGTTACCGGAAGTGCAATAGAAACTGAATCTAACTCTAAAACGGAAGCATTTTACTACAGACAATACATTATGGAAGTGTTAAGTGAGGAATGCCAATCACAAAAACATTATTTTGACGTCATCCACGAAAGGGCGCCCTCCAGCGGCACATAGAAAACAGTTTAATCTTTTAAAATATTAAAACCCTCAATCAAATTTTTATGATATATTGCCCCTATATATCCCGTGAGCAACCGCAAATGAATTTGCAAGGTTTCATAATCATGACGTCATCAGACCGGAAGCTACTGTAGGGAGAATTCAACAATAACTATTATTATTATTTTTAATTTAAATCCATCATTTGATCCCTGTCTCATGACTATGTTTTTTGCCCCCCAAAAATGACATCTGTTACACTTAATATTGACCTTTTGCTTCCAAATACTGTGACATCATCAAACTGGAAGTTAGCTGTTATTATTACTTACACTTAATTTCCATATTTCCATGCGTTATTTTTACTTAATGATAAACAAGTGTCCTCCCTTCCCTGTTTGACTGATGACGCCATCAAACCGGAAATAACTTGTACGTGTACCCAACTGTATACTAAAAATTTATCACACCTTAAAAGACGCATTCTTTTTGTACAAAATAATTGGTATTGGAAATGTTGAAATTCTTGGTCCTTTTTTTCTGACATAAATATATTTATAACTTAATTGGACAATGTCTAATGAAATGGTTGTCTACCCGACCACTCTGCGTTTGTAACAACAAACGCGAACCTCTAGTTTGCACCTGTTTTTGGTCATTGAAGGGATGAGATCTACTGCATGATTTGTAAACAGCTTACCAACAACCCTTCCAGGAGTAGCCACGCTAGGGGCTGGATCCTGCTGGCACTCTGTGTAGGCTGCTTTGCGCCGACTGACAGGGTGAGAACATATATCGCAGTTATCAAGCTTAATGTCAATCGCTTTTTTCAATTGTACAAGACCGATTCATTAATCTCTTTGGTCAAATAAAAAAACTCTCTTGTTAATAGCCAGTGAAATCTATTGAAGACTTGAAAACTTTTTTATCTTGATAACTATTGAATATTGATATTGGTATGTATTGATAATACTGTGATGTATAGTCAGTGATGATATTGAAAACTTGACAACTTGATAACTTGATAACTATTGAATATTGATAACTGATGGTAGGTATTGATAGTGCTGCGATGTATAGTTTCAGTGATGATATATTGACAACCATTCAAATGTATTGGTAGCCAGTATTATCTATTGGTAACCACTAACTAGTGCTATCTATTGATGACCAGTAGCTATTGATGACAAGTAGCTATTGATAACCAGTGATGTCTATTGGTAACCAGTGATATGTAATGATAACTAGCAATAACGTTTGAGAAACAGTGATATTTTTTGACAGCCAACAGATAAAATTATTGATACCTAGTGAAAGCTATTGATAATCAGTGATATTTATTGATAACCAGCAATATCTTCCTATAACCATTGGTATCTTTTGATAATCTGTGATGTGATAAACCTTGCTCTGCTTGTTCCAAACGGATACAGTTTGTGTTCTAAGGCGCTGGATTTTGACGAACGTTTTGGGGGGTTAAAAGAGATCGAAGTGATATCAATTTGACGTAATGCCTTGGGAGCTGTCATTTTGCGTTTTTCTTTGATCGACTGAATTTTTTACAAACTTTATAATTTCACTATTTAGATTGTAGTGCAATTCATACATTTGACATCAGATTTGTTTTAGTCTCTTCCATTTCTTGTTGCGACGTCTTTTTACCTCATGCTTTCCTGTGCAGTTTGTCAAGTACCTGCGTTGTTTCATCAGCGAGGGTCCGCCCGGCTTCGCGCCATACTGCGAAGAGAGGCTGCAACGAACTTTCGCCAACGGGCCCAGGACACAGCCACCCAGCTGGCTGGAACTACAGGTAAGGAGTCATCTCAAAATGTATCTCGGATAAGTTGCAGACAATTTTATCCGCAAAAGACCCGGTGTCAGGTAAAAGTTGGTGGATTCTTCCCGCAACGAAGTTATCAGTATTGTTTACAAAACCTTTGATTTTGTTGTTTGAAGATTCTGAGGATACCTTCTTTATAATTGTTCAATGTTTACCTGATAAAATGGCATTATTGCGGATAGTCTCGTTGTCATGTTCGCGTACAGTTGTTTCTTTGGGTTCGTCCTATTCTTCAGGACATCAAATCCCATTTTCGGCAATAACTCTTTACTCTTAGGTTGCCCATTGCGCATTCTGTCCTCTCTATTCAGGCCACCAAATTCTATTTACAAAATTCCCTATCCTTACACGGCCGATTGAGGTTCTCCCCTCTTTTGTTTAGGCCACCAAGTCCCGTTTTAGGGAACAATTTCTTATAGTAAGGGTGCCTAAACCTATTTTTTTCGCGGGGGGGTATGCCATTCCTTCATCCCGTTTTTGGAGCATAACTCGATTTTCAAGCTGCCTATTCCTCTCATATATTCCCCTAAGGGTTTCCCCTTTTTTTTCTTTAGGCCACCAAATCCAAGAAGCCCCTGATGCTGCCCATCACCTTCATGGATGGCACCACCAAAACCCTACTGGCCGACTCGGCCACCACAGCCAGGGAACTCTGTGGACAGCTGTCAGACAAGATCGCCCTCCGAGACCAGTTTGGCTTCTCTCTCTTCATTGCTCTCTTTGACAAGGTGAACTAGGGCTGGGCCAAATATACTGAATATTCAAATATTCGATCATCTACCGAATAATGTGAATAGCATTTTTCCAGGTAAATATTTGGAAAAATGTGAGCAGCCTCAAGATGATAAAATACAAATGTCCACGATGTTATTTTTATGTTATAAGTTTGCATCTTTAAAATCAGCCAGTTAACTTCCTCAAAAAGTATTTGGTACATTCACGATGTTCGCATTAAGCTCGTCAATTGTCGACAGGTATGCAAAGCCTGATCGGCGTCCCATTCGGGACATGCACATTGCAAATGGTGCAAGCACGTCTAGTTTTCCGACTTGCAAGTGGAATTCCTGATCGGCTTACACAATTTAGGCTAATTCGTACATATACATGTAAAAACTTGGTTATGAGCTTAGAATATTCAATCGAATCTGAGTTCACAGAATGTCCGTTTCAAATCCCACCTTCGAAACATTCTAGTCATAGCTTTCAATTTTTTTCTCTTGTTTGCTTTCTGAAGCGGTCGTCATTGGGTAGCGGGGGCGACCACGTCATGGATGCCATTTCGCAGTGCGAGCAGTACGCCAAAGAGCAAGGCGCGCAGGAGCGCAATGCCCCCTGGCGCCTGTTCTTCCGCAAGGAGATTTTCGCCCCTTGGCATGACCCTACAGAGGACCCCATTGGGACTAATCTGATCTACCAGCAGATTGTGCGTGGAGTCAAGTCTGGGGAATATCGATGTGATAAGGTGAGACTTGATGCTAAAGGTCTTCTCCTGAAAATATAATAATCATCATCATCTTTGAGCAAACTCGAATCATCATTCCAGATTGGTTGAGCCATGACAACAACAGTGAGATATTATCCCATACAGCATGGTCCACATTGCACTCTGGATGTCGCACCGTTTTAAAATGCCCGGGCTATTCCTGCTGTCAGCGCGTGTAATCTATAGCGTGCACTTTGTGTCAAGTTTGCTTGAATATAGTTCTGTCAGTGTCTATGCACCACGGGGCCCAATGGCGATGGGCTTCGGGACTATTTTCAGGGGTGATCATCTTCAGATGGAAATTTCTCCTAAAAGTCATCAGTTGACCCCCGAAAATTGAAAAGAAAATGAAAGATGATGAAATAAGCTTTAATTTGATGTGTGTCTCGAACATCTTGGAGAGTTGTGAGTATTTTTCCCGAATTTTTGAAGTGGGAGCATTTACCATTGGGGTCTATGGAAGTTTATTTACTGGTCTGTAACCCTAAGATTAGTTACCTATTCAACTGACTGACAGACTTTCAGTTTACAAAGCTTGGCTGTTAAGTCTGCACCATTGGTTTCATTTCATTTCATTCTTCACTATACTTGTGTACGACATACCGGTAAGTCCAGTCTGGGATCCACCCGATGTTCCCCGGTCCCTATATGTATTCCCAAGTATATATGTTCCCATGTTCCTCAGTGTTTCCCTAGGGTTAGGGTTATGGTTGTGGGTCCTGGGTGACGGGGTCACTGTGGGAAACATAGGGACTGGGGAAGAGATCTGGGACTGGGGAACATAGGTACGCACCCGTCTATTGTCTGCATGCGAACGTCAAAAAGTGGATTTTTCGTTTCAATCGTGTTAATTAACACTACAGCTTATTTTACGAACTTTTTTTCCTATTCCAAATCAATTGAATAGAATTGTTTGCACTCTGGGATTAGATTTTCAAGGCTTGCCTAGTTTCCCAATCAATCCTTGATGGTTAAATTCTTGGCTGAAAATTGTGAGTTTTCTCCAAACCCTTCCCCTTTTTGGGGGTCTCAGGATGGTGACCTGGTTGGCATAGTTGCCCAGCAGTACTACGTGGACTACGGAGGGGAGATAATCTACGATCGTCTTATCAACCTCCTGCCGACCTACATTCCGGAGAGCTCCGTGACGGGCTCCAAGACCCTGGAACGCTGGGCGAAGATGGTCATGTACGAACTCAAGAATGTGAGTGGAACGGTTAGAATAGAAAGATCCATTAGGCCTCAGTTACTACACACGTGGGCATCAGCAACGCCAATGTGCATGTTCCAGCCGTACGTATCATACACACGTGGCAGAAACTTGGCTTTGATTGGTCAAAACACCATGGTGCTTATTATTATGGATCAGACTTTTGCCGATCAATTACCGTTAAAACAAAAGAAATGTACAAGATGTCAGCTAGCATTTGGCTGTTTCAACGTGCAAGCTCATTTGATGAGCACATTTCAAATTTCACGCGCCTCCAATCACAGAGATAAGATTTGTCAGGATTTGTCCTGATTTCCAGATTTTTGGTGGGAATTTTCCCGATTTCGGGTTTTTTGTCGGGATGAATTCATGATTTTTATGTATAGACCCAACATTGCATTTTTCATTTCCCCCGAATTTCAGCCCTGAAAATAAGAACGCCTGTGACACTGGTTTGATTGGGTGCCACATCAGTAACGGTTTGGTTTTGAGTCTATAAGAATGGTTGTTGTCGTTGCGTCTTCCAGAGCTACTATGCCAAGGAGCATGTAGAAAAGATGCGCGTGAAGGAAGACGTGGTCAACTACGCCCGCTTCAAGTGGCCGCTCCTCTTCTCTCGATTCTACGAGGTTTCCAAGTTCTCCGGCCCCAGCCTGCCCAAGAATGACGTAATCGTTGCCGTCAACTGTATCGGGATGTACGTCTTGGATGACCTGGAACAAGTCCTGCTAGAATTGTCCTTCCTTAATATCACACAGGTGTCCAGTAGCCGGTTAGTGATGGATTGTGGATAAGGCATTGCATAACGGGTAACGCGTAGCGTGATTGGTAAGGCATTACATGATGGGTAATTTTTTGCATTATGGGTAATGCATTGCATGATGGGTAATGCATCACGTGATTGATAATGCATTGTATGATGGGTAATGTCGTGGATGACCTTGGACAGCTTCTGCTGGAGTTTTCCTTCCCTTAAAGATCACACAGGTGTCCAGTAGCTGGTGTGCGATGGAATGTGGGTAATGCGTTGAATGATGGGTAATGCGTTGCATGATGGGTAATGCGTTGCGTGATGGGTAATGCAATATCCCAAGGCATTTGGAATTACATTATCTAATATTGTTTTCAATAATGCATTATGGCTATTCGGGGAAAAAAGAGTAGAAGGTTAGAATCCCTTTTCAATTTCAGTGGGGAGAGAACATTGGTAGAACCCTGATACATCAAGCCAAAGGACACAGGTTCAAACCCAGCTCTAAGCTCAGTTGGTAGAACACTGGGATAGTACTTCACAAGTTAAAGGTTTCAATCCTGCTCAGGCCCAAGTATCAGAGCATCAGTACAAATCATTCTCTTGCGCTGTTGGAGCACCGCTTCAGTATTCCAGCGGTCCAGGATTCAAATCCCACTCGTCGGTTTTCCAGTTGCATCGACAGAACATCAATAAAGAGCATTCTTTTGTTTATCAGAGCATAGTACAAATCCTTTGCTTGCTGTATTGGTAGAGCTTGCTCTGTAACACAAGTCCAGTATTTCATGGATTTCAGATTCGAATCCTGCTCATGTCAATTTTCTCGATCTCTCTCAGGACGGGCAAGCTTCATGAGCAGAGCTTCACGGTCCTGACAGTCAAGGGGGAGGAATACACATTTACCTCCTCCAACGCGCAGGACATCAGTGATCTTATCCTCTTCTTCCTGGAAGGAATGAAGAAAAGATCCCGCTACGCTGTGGCTCTGCAAGACAACCCGGTCCAAGGTAGGAAGAGCCAAACTTGGGAATATTTCTGTCAGATTCTGAACCCCCTTTACAACCAGGGGTATAAAATAACTAATTTGCACACAAAAATGTGGGGCATTGTGAAATGAGACGGAACTGGACACAGGCCATGGTAGAGAAAATGCAAAGAAATTAATGGGGGTCTTTTTTTTAATTCGATTTTTATGGTTATTGATATTTGTAATCTTTGATATGTCTACTACCCATCATTTAAAGAAATAGTTTAAAAATAGTAGCATAAAAGTATTCTAAGGAAAAAGAATTGGCATCTTCATTTTCAGGACTACAAACTTGAAACTTTAAAGGCCTTGTGCTAAGAATTTTATTTGTTTGACATGTCGATAAATGCGACCTATACACAGCCATACATTGTCAACGGAATATCCGATTGTCAACGGAATATCCAATTGAAGTGCAACGAACACTATTGTAAGGAGTACCTTATTCTCTTTCCTAATGCCCGCAAACCCTTGTTTCGACCTCTGCCCAGTTCTGTCTCATTTTGACAGAACCCTCACACATGTTGTGCAACGTTTGAACATTTAATTGTTTTGTTCCTAATGGTCAAGGATCATCATTCCTGAGTTTCCAGCGAGGCGATCTGATCATCTTCGAGCTGGAGAATGGCGACGCTTTGATGGAGAGCGGTTGGTATTACGGGGAGAACGACCGCACTGGCCTCAAAGGAGACTTCCCTGCTGAGTGTGTCTACGTCCTGCCAACTACTGCAAAACCTGCTCCAGATATTGTGGTAAATAGAAGTCGTTTCTGGCAATAATATAGTAATGTGTGCTTTTTTCCAAAGGTCTCAAAGCGCTTCACAATTGTTACTGCTGTTCATCAGGCCATGATACCATCTATTTTCTGCACTTGCGTCAATGAGAAGTAAAAATGTGTAGGCCAAGTCAGTAAGACTACTATGGCGAACCCTCTCTTCCTGTCCCCACCCCCTAGGCACTCTTTACTATGCTGCCCCAGGGGATGTTGGACCGGATGCTTGCCTCCCAGGAAGCCATGAGGTACGGCGACGCCCATCAGCAGCAACACACCTTGGAGGAGTTTGCCGGTGAGCACTTCCGGCAGCCACCCATGCGCAAGCTCAGCCTCGGTGTCAAGCGTCGCACCAGAGTAAGCATTCCAAACACAGCCTCAAAATCATGATGGTGATTTTCCGGTTTAAGAACCTCCCTACACCCATTTGCCACTGACTTGGTGTCTAATTCCCCTAGGCATATACGATCATATAAGCATTTTAAAAGTAACCTAATGAATTATTATCAAAAATCCTACTTGGATTAAAGATCGTACTGGTACAAAGCACCTGTGAAATTGTTACATCGGGCTTTCAGTAATTCAGAAGAAATCAAGAAATGTAGGTGATTTTCAACGATCAGTAAAGTAACTGATTTTGGAAATAAAGAGTGCTATTGACCAAAATCATGTTTCATGATCAGAAGGTTGTGCATTGTTTCCCCCTATTTTTCTCGGAAAGTATAATATCCACTGAGCAGAAACTAATACAACAGGTCAAGTTTTGTATATTTCTTATTGGGTTATTATTGGAAACGAACTGTCTTGTTGAAAATGTTTTTATCATACACTAACCCCCCCCCAAAAAAAAAAATCTCTGGTTTCTGGTATGCGCGCACGTCGCCGTTGCCATGCGCGTCAGCAAAAAAAAACAAAATTCAATGTAAAGTGATGTCTCAAAAGCACCAAACACACTGGTTTGACTGGAATCCTGCTGCTGCACAATTTTAACGTGTTTTTTATTGGGTTACGATCGAGTATAAGCTTTATGTGGCCACTCTTGGCTCCCATACATTTTGCACTAAATTTAGTAGCCATCATTTGCAGTCATCAGCGGACATTTGAAGGGAAAAATGTCAACAACAAAAAAGCCGCGTTGCCGAACCACTTTTGGGGCAAGCTTCATACCAGAAACCGGAGATTTTTTTGGGGGGGGCCTAATCAATGGTTCAGCGATGGGTTTTAACCATTTGTAACTTTTAGGAGTTAACTTTTTCAGCATTGCTCGTGCATTTACTGAGAACACCACACACCTTTGGTTCTTAAATTCGGAACTGTTCGTACATATGTTATAAAAAAAAACAGAATAAGAGATAAATCAAAATGCATTGTGCATGAAACTAAAAGCAAGATTTAACTTGGAGCTGATTTCATAAACACAATTAAAAGTAATTTATGTTTTTTTGTCCCATTTTCAGAACAATTTGTGGAGTCACAGCAAGGCGGCCATTACACAGCCACTCCTCAAGAAACTTCTCAACAACCCAGAGCTGGCAGAACAAGCCTGCGATGCCTTTGAAGATATCATTTTAGTTCATATAATTCCAGATATTTTCAGTGCTGTATAGTTGAGTCCATCACAAGTCCTTTCACAAGTCCTTTCCCAAGTCAAGTCACAAGTAACGGGATGAACAATGACAATGGAATGCTTGTGCAAAAGTTCACAGTTTAATCCGTGTTTCTTTGTATTGTACGGAACGATCGAAGGTACTCACCAGTCGTTTCATGCTTCGTACCAAAACAGGAGATAAACGCTGGCCTGATGGGCCATTTGGATCATAACAGACTTTACCACTTCTTACACCCGACCTTTGTAATATGCTGAACAAGTATAAATAACATTGACTTTAAACTATTTGTTATTCATTTAGCAGGTAACAGGGACACACACAAAATGGATCCAAAATAAATGGAATGACCCAAGTTATTATTAAAATTATTATTAAAGTGAATTGCAAATGATATGTTTCCTATTGCATTTTTAAAAAAAATAGTAAGTTAAAGAAGTCCATAGGTTTCATTTCGTTAGAGGCGTGTTCTGTGTTCAAAAAAAGTGTTGCCAAGTGATTTTTTTCCTTAACCCCTTTGCACCTGTTCTGAAGTACATGGGAGACTTCCCGTCCAAGAGGTCATATCGCCCCGGTAATGACCTCTCGGACAAGATCTTCGAGTCTCCGTTGAAAAACGAGCCGCTGAAGGACGAGATCTATTGCCAGATCATTAAGCAACTGACCAAAAACAGACTCAAGTAAGTCCTGACTGGGAAGACAAGATTCCTTTATAAAAAAAGATGTTTGTGACCCATGACCACAAAATGAGCAAAAGTCAGACGTTTTAGAATTGACATTTCGAAGAAATCAAGAGATGTATGTGATTTCCAACGATCAGCCTATTGATTGGTTCTTTGATGTAAAGAGTGCCGTCAAAGAAGGGTTGTGCATGGTTTTTCATTGTTTTCTCGAAAGGTATGATATCCACAGAGCTGAATCTTTAACAGGTTAGGTTTCGGAGGTTCCTATTTGGATTATGAACAAAGTGCATTGAAAGCAAATTATCCTAAATGCCTTCATTGGGTTAAATGAGACTTTTTTATAATCAGATTTGCAAAAACATACTTTTTCCGAGCATAGGTTAAGCGAGGGGCGTGGCTGGGAGCTGATGTGGCTGGTAACCGGCATCTTCACCTGCAGCCAGACCCTCATGCCTGATGTCACCAAGTTCCTACTGTCGGGTACCAACAACCTGGCCACCGACTGCCTGCGCCGTCTGCAAAAGACCATCCGCTACGGCCAGCGCAAATACCCCCCTCACCTGCTGGAGGTAGAGGCCATCCAGCACAAAACCACGCACATCTTCCATAAGGTGTACTTTCCCAACGACACGGAAGCGGTAGGTTAGATCTTGGGTAATAAGAATAACAATAATAAAAATGTGGTCTTTACATGTATATATAATTATATGGTGGAGGAAAAAGGCCCATGAGATCCAAGACCTTGCTGACATCCATGACCCCCATGGTTTTTATGACGCTGTTAAACCATCGATGGACCGATGAGGTCTGCCGACGGCTCTACCCTCATCAAGGACCGCCAAGGTATTCTCACCCGTTGGGCTGAGCACCTCGGCGAGCTCCTCGACCGAGTCAACCCCGTCGACTCTATTGTGATTGACCGCCTTCCCTCTCTGCCACCCATCCCTCGGCTTGACAACCCCCCCCCCCCCCCGACCTTTGCCGAGATCCAGCCGGCTGTCAAGAGCCTTAAGAACAACAAGGCAGCTGGACCTGATGGGATCCCGGGCGAGATCTACAAGTACGGCGGAAACCTGCTCCTTCATCGTCTGCACTGCTTCATCTGCGACGTCTGGGCAGCTGAGTCCCTTCCACAGCAGTGGTAGGATGCTAGCATCGTCACTGTGTACAAGAGGAAGGGGGACAAGTCCAACTGTGGGAACTACCGCGGCATCTCTCTTTGGCCGTCGCTGGGAAGATTCTGGCCCGAGTTATGCTCTCCCGTCTCGTTTCCTCTGTCTCCAATGCTGTCCTCCCTGACTCACAGTGTGGCTTCCGTAAGGACAGGAGCACCACGGATATGTTATTCGTGGCTCGTTAACTGAAAGAGAAGCGCAGGGAGCAACACCGCGAATTCTATGCCGCCTTCGTCGACCTTACCAAGGCATTTGACACCATCAACAGGAGCCTTCTCTGGACTCAAGTGTGGCTGTCCCCCAAGGTTTGTCAGGATCCTTCAGGAGTTCCACACAGGGTTGTTTGCCCGCGTGGTTGTCGGGGGCCTGGAGTCGGAGCCCTTTGAGGTCAAAGCTAAAATGAAGCAGGGCTGTGTCCTTGCGCCGGCCCTCTTCAACATATATCTAGTGGATGTGACTCTTCTTTCCCGACACCAGCTCCATCTGGATGACGGCATAACCTTCCGGTATCGGCTAGATGGCAGCCTGACTGCAAGCCAAGACTAAGACCAGGACTAAAACTATATTCGATCTGCAGTATGCTGATGACGCTGCCTTTGTCAGCCATTCGGCAGCGGGCCTCCAAAGGATTCTCGACGCCATGGCCGACATCTACACCAGCGCCGGACTCGTCATCAACGCCAGGAAAACAGAAGTACTCCACCATGCAGCGTGTGTCCTACGAAGACCAGCCTTCTGATATGCCCTTTCATGTCGGGACAGAGGACATCAGTCAAGTTCACAGCTTCGTAGCTGGGCAGCATCCTGAATATGTCCTGCAATGTCGACGAGGAAGTCCAAAATAGGATACGGAAAGCCTCCAGCGCCTTTGGCCGGCTGTCACACCGTGTGATTTTCAACCGGGACATCTCCATCTCCACCAAGGTCGCCGTCTATAAGGCCATCTGTATCTCCACACTGCTGTATGGCTGTGAGGCCTGGACCATTTACAGAGCCCATATTAGAAGCCTTGAGGCTTTCCACATCCGTTGTCTTTAGCGTATCCTCGGGCTTACCTGGGCGGACCGGTTTCCGCATATCACCATCCTCCAAACGGCCAGCTGTCTCAGTGTGGAGGCCCTCATTATCCAACGGCAACTCCACTGGGTCAGACACGTCTACCGGATGTCTGGGGACCGACTTCCTCGCACGCTGCTCTACGGTGAGCTCTCCAATGGACACCGAGCCGTTGGTGGACAGATGAAGCGGTTCAAGGACCATCTTATGGTGATGTTGAAGAAGTGCGGGGTCACACCCTCCAACCTGGAGCAGCTCGCCGCAGATCGGAGCACATGGCGCGGTCTGCAAGTCATGAGTCAGTGGATCTCTTCGAAGCTGCACGCACCTGCGAAAGAGAAGAGCGACGCCGCCAGCGACATGTGCGACAGAACCAGGGGCCTCCTCCGGGTGACGGCATCCGCTGCCTGACCTGCGGGAGGCGCTGCGCCTCCGAGTTTGGGGCTCCGTAGCCACCAGAGGAGTCATCAGAGGCGCCCGTATCATCGCCATTAATTTTTGTTTTCTTTTTATTAATTTCCTTTGTGCATTGGGGGAGACGTCGTCATCGTTTCGATGGACACCCATAACTAACTAACTAATATAATAGGCATTAAATTAAGAGAACAGGATTTAGTAGAGGAACTAGTGATGGATTTGACAATCTCCTGTTCTTCGTCAAAACATTTGAATTCAGAAAGTGGATGGGTAATAACATTAGAAACATAGTGATGGGTAATAACATTGGACACGTAATATTATCAGGAATGGCAGGCATGGGGACTGTTTGAATATACTACCAAGGCCACGTCTGATCTTATCACATTTATCACTGGAAAAAAACAGGACAAAGCGATCACAAACAATCTTCTCATAACAATTAATGCAGTAGGGAACTTATTGGTACTTTTGTTAAGGTGTATTTGAATGGTCCGATGAATATCTTTGACATTACAAGTGGTCAGATTACCTTTGAAGTATGATGCCTTGACGGACCGGATAAGTTCGGAGAGCACTGACTGTGCGGGGTATCATATCAAGGAGTTTGCACAGTATCTTAAAGATGCAGATGCAGAGAATTTCCGCCCACTCTGTTCCAGACGACATCTAACACCTGCTTCGTGGATGTCATTTAATTTGCTTCTGTGTACAAAGTATCTTTCAAAATATCATATTATTGTATTAATTCCTGATGTAATTTATAAATATGTGTACACATTGGAAAGAATTACAACAATTAAAATAAGTATTGCAAAAGAAGAAGAAGTTGTACCAGTACCAGGGGAATATCGGCCGTACAGCACGGTTGAGTTGTCTGAGAGGACAATGCACGTCGAGGATGTGTCGAGTATAGTTTCATTATGATGAAACTTATCATCGACATTGCCAAGAGCGAGCAGAGGTTTCAGTCTCTCGTTAAAATCACGGGAAAGTGCGTCGGTGTCAACAACCAGAAAGTCATGCATTTTCGGGATGTGTCACCAGTGCATCCGAGTATGATTGAATTAAAAATACACAACATGATGATCGCACATCAGGTTCTCGTGAGTTGTGTACAAAACAATTTGGACCAAATTGTCTTCCAGGCGGCCACTATGGCCACATGTTACTATATTTATGAGTGGGGCCCGATACACACTGGTGAAAGTCGGCACTTTTAAAACGAATTTTTGGAACTAAAATCTGGTATGCATGTTTTTTCTCCTTCTTTTTTTAGGCCTTTAAAATTGACTCCGATACCAGGGCTAAAGATTTCTGTGAGAGCATCGGGCAGCGAATGAAACTAAAGTCATCGGATGGCTTCAGTCTGTTTGTTAAGATTGGCGACAAAGGTGATTTGTTCTTCTTTGAATATTGAAGTCATTTTGGTTGCTATAATTAGTTCTCTCATTTTTGTTTTCCTTTAAAAGTTGGGGAACCATTACTACAATATTTTCTTGAGCCTTATTAAAAAGTGTTCCTTGCTACATTGGTTTTACATTTGTGTTGATATTTTACTTGTTTTTCGGCATTTCCGCAACTTTGCGGAAAAGCAATTATTATTCTTCTTCGCCTTCTTCTTCTATCTTTGCCTTCTTCCTCTTCGCCTTCTTGCTCGCTAAAATTTGAAAATGCAATCAGATTGACTTCAACCGGGCACAGACTAATACCCTAAGATAAAGCTAAACAAGTGACATCATGATGACGTTATCATTGGTCATGTGACATCATGTTAACCTTGCATAATTTAAATTTCTATATTTAGAGATCTACAAGGCCAGTTGGGTTAAAGCTTTTACTACATAGTTAGGCATTTGTTATGGATGACAATTAAAATAATGTCATGATAATGTCATGTGATCTTTCATTGATATTTAATTTTTGTCATCTTATCTGCATATCTAACGAACGAAAGATGCTAAATTCTAAATTCTTTTTGTAAGAGGTTTGGAAGTTCCAAGATATAGCCCAAAATTTTGAGATATGTGTGACGTCATCCTGATGTCATTAAAATTGCGATTTAAAAAATCCCAAATTTGATGGAAAGTCCGATTGTCTTAAAACTTGGTAGGTAGTTAGAATATGTGAATAGTATGCATTATATGGAATGACGTCACGAAGAAGTCACAATTATTTTCTTAACGAATGTTTAATAATCTTTTCTTTACTTGAAGAAGTGTTCAATGTTCTAATATTGATTTTTCTTTACAGCGTTTTGAATAGTTTAGAAATGAAAGAAATGAAATAAATTGATAGGCCTTCCTTCAAAATCAACATTCAATAAACAACCATGCGGAAAAGCCAGTTGTGTTGTCCAATGTGGACAATCAACAATTCTTCTTCTTTTTCCTTTAGTGATTAGCATACCGGAGGGCGACTTTTTCTTTGATTTTGTCCGCCATCTGACTGACTGGATCCAAAAAGCAAGGCCGAGCCGGGAAGGTAACTATCAAAATGTCTCACATGCTTTCTGGCAATGGTGCAGACTTCGGAGATGAGGGGTTGGGTTTAATCCCCTATTTGTTTTACCAAGATTTTTGTGCTCAACGACAAAAATGAAGTTGTAGTGAAATCGTGCATATAAAAAGACAACAATATCCCAGCCACTCAAAAAAAAGCTATTTCATGCATTACTGGACGTATCAAAGGTGTGCGCATATAGTATACGTATATAGAAGGTTATTTGTGAACAGCACCATTGTGTCAATGGTGTTCAGCCCCCTTCCTTTTTTTAACTTGAAATGTCTGGGGAAGTTTAAGAATGTTTCACGTGTACCCTGACAATTTCTCGCATTCTGTTATCGTTGCAAGAGGTGGCATTGTCTATCGGAAATGAACCTGTGAAATATGTTCCTGGAGTTTATGACCTTGTGATCTAGAGCATTAAAATTGATGGTCTGCGGGGGTGTGCCCTTGGGCAAGACACTTTGTCACTCATTGCTTCTCTCCACCCAGAAAATGGGTACTGACTTGTGAGGACAGAGACGGTTATTGTGATTGATTGGAGCTGCTTTGGGCAGAAATGGCAGCATCGAGCTGTGTATACTCCCCAGGGAGCTGAGATTGTGTTGGAAATATAATTGGCCTGATAATCAGGGGTAATCATAATGTAAAGCGCTTTGATCTTAGTAAAAGAGCTCTATAACAGGCGCGGTTCTAGAACCAATTTTTTTGGGGGGGCGGGGGCTAGCACGGTGGATCCAGAATTTTTTCAGGGAGGCGTGCTGAAATGTAGACCGGTTATTTTTTTCAGACACTTAGGCCTCCGAAAATCAATAGGTTGGGGGGGGGGGGGGGCTCATGCCATATTTTCAATGGGGAGCGCCAATAAAATCCTAAAATCATTCACACTATATTAATAATGCACCCTTGTCACGGCTATTTCTTCTTTAGGGGGAGACCGTTCGCATGTACATCACAATCCTTCTTTTTGCTAATGCAATTTTTTTTTTTACGGAATTTATTTTGGGGGGGCTAGACAAAATTTGAGGGGGGCTACAGCCCCCCCCCCAAGCCCCCCCCCCCCCCCATAGAACAGCGCCTGCTCTATAAGTATCCATTAGCTTTGTTTACTTCGTCATGCTCACCTCTTTGCTAGGCACGATGCTAGTACTGTCTTACCAGGTCTTCTTCATGAAGAATTTGTGGACCAACACGGTCCCTGGCCACGACCCAAACGCCGACGTCATTTTCCACTACTATCAAGAAATGCCAAAACTCCTGAAGGGTTACCACAAGGTCACCAAGGAGGAGGCCGTGCAGCTGGCCGCGCTGCAGTACCGCGTCCGCTTCGGCGACGACAAGTCGGAGTTCCAGAGCATCCCACGCATGATAAAGGAGCTGCTACCTGCTGACATGATCCGCAGTAAGCTTATGTCCACGGAAGACTGGAAGCAGGTAATTGATACGAAGCATCCATATAACATTTGCGTTTCCCATACTCTTCCACAAATTCGCTATTGGTTCCTATATAATGAATGTTCAACCTGTATATGTATGGCTGGAACTCCCCAGGCCGATCCTTAGTCTGTTGGGACCAAGTAAAACACCAATAGACTATTATTATGTTGCGGTCATTTGCATTTTTCCCATTCAAATCAACGTAACCAACTTAAGCGAGGCTGGAAGGAAAACTAGTCTGATTCCTTTTTGCACAGCAGACATTATCATTCGGTACTGTTATTGGAGACAGGGAACATGACTAAAATGGCGGCAGCAGGATAAAGGTCGACTAGGGTGGAGGTGATCTTCAGAAACCAAGACTTTCCCCTAGGCCTAGACGCGAGACCACTCAGAGCAACCTTAAGGTTAAGGGTGCAGGTCCGTTTTGGTAAAAATACTGCCGATTATAAATGATTGCTTATTACACTCTGCACGCAGCAGCTCACTGAGCGCAAATTAAGCTCCGCCCAGTCACGCACGAATATTCCATTGCACAGACAATACAAATGCATAGGGAATAAACCGGCCTTAGGTCCAAGCACTTTTCGTAACACTATTATTCCAACCAGAACACTCCACCCCTACGACAATAAAGTATTTGCTTTTCCGAAGCCCCAGTGGTAGGGACACACTACGTGCGTGTCAATTCGCCTTGGTATGAAGTGAAGTAGGCAAGACTTATTTCATTCTGAATGTCCTAGTGTCTTTGCCTGAGCGTCGGGCGGCGTCAGCAATGGCCAGGTTCGCGCAAGGACTATAGTTGACCAATGGTTAACTAACGTTTGCCCGAACTCTGTCTAGTCGACGGTGGTTGACTACGCTAGTCGACTATTTGGAACCAGCCTACTGGGGTTGGTTGCTTCGCTGGTAACCAATAGCCGCGCGCATTCATAATGCTAGCAGAGAGTCAGGATTCAGAAGTTTTGCGATGACATTTTGACCAGCGTTTGACTAGAGACGTTCGCACGTTGCTATTAGTGCGCAGGCGTAAGGTACGTCACAAATCAACCACTAGTCGACTAATGGTCCTTGCCCGAACTTGGCCTATACATTCCTCCCAGTGGTCGAAAGAAAATAGAATGCTTCATGGATCACCGAGGGAGGCTAGTTTTACTTCACCACGAGATAAAGCATTCAATATTTGTTTTATAACACTTCATCCACAGATTCTGCTTGGTTGTAATATTTAAATTATTTAAATCTGAACACAGTTGAAATAAACTTCAATTTCAATACAAAACTGGAGGAAAATGTATTTCTCTCTTCCAAACTACCCCTTCGCGAAATGTTTGAACCCAACTCTGCGGCGCGCTCTCTTTGGAACAAAACGCGCTGCGTGCAACGCGCACACCAGCATGCATTTGCCATCCGGTTCGTTAGTGTGACGTCACCTCCAGCACTTTCTGCACGATTGGAACCGGAAGTTAACGCAGCCCGAGCGTTTGCAGCCAATGGGCGCTAGTAATCAGGGGTGTGCGCGCGTGTATGACGTTTTTACTAACGAACCGGATAGATATAGAACTTAAAAAACTAGATCGGACGCGCGTATGATACGCGCGTTTTGACAGGATGCTGCCATTGGTCACGTGAATAGGGTTAAAAATTTAAACGCACATTTCTTCGGCATGACGATCACTTGTACTCCATCACTGCTTGAAAATGGTGGCAATCTGCGCGGCAGCAAAGTTCAACTAAGATGGAGAAAGGGACCAGGAGGACAGTCTCTCAAGAAGTTAACATCATGTGTGAGTAACTTAATACACAGAATTTATCTCTTGAGAGTACATTTCGAACAAGACAGCTTTTAAAAAAATAAACTCAATATAGGCTAGTTACGCAATGCCAAATGGGCATACATCACAGGAATGGGTGTGGAGAAAAATCCCCATGTGTGATCCAAAGGATCCTCCGAATTTTGTAATAACCGCGCGGGGCCTACTTAAAATATTTTCAGTGTATTGTTTTAAAAGTTAAGATGGTACTCCTGATCCTGAACATCGAATAACAATTATTTCTGGCCTAACATCACCCTCCCCTCTCCTGCTTTTAAATAATAGTCCGACTCCGCTGGGGAACGAGGATTGGGAGTCACTTTTTGTTGTGGGATGTGGGTGATTAAAGAAAATGCACCATTCTCCTAGTTTGAACACATCAATGAGAAATATTCCAGATGGCAGCAAATGGCATCCAACAAAGCACGACCGTCTTTGCAGCGACCATTTCCCTGCAGAGTGCTTCAAGGGGGAATGGGGGGAAAACACGTCTGCGTGTCGATGCCGTACCGTCAATCTTTGAAGACTACCCAAGGGCGGATCCAGAACACAATTTTTTGGGGGCGGCCAAAAAAACTTTTGGTCCCCCCAAAAAGTGGGTCCAAAATTTTTTTGGATTCTAGATGCTCTGTGGTGCGATCTGAGGCAATTTCTGACCACTTTAACCAATTTTTTTTGAGGAAAAGATGGTGGTGTACTCATTGCCTGCCTTAATTGCGATGTCACATAAAAAAAAAAATTGGTTTCGTTTTTTTTTGGGGGGGGGGGCATGGCCCCCTTTGGCCCCCCCCCCCCCCCCCCCCCCCCTGGATCCGCCCTTGAGACTACCCGACTCATTTGAAGCCTGTAAGTATTACAATGAGCCTTGGGGCCAGGATAGGCTATCGATAATTACTGTCATGTATTTAAAGGCCTAGCATGTGCTTCATTTGTTTTATTTCGTAGAAAGACTACAGTCTCGTGAATGGACTTCAGCACGAGAGAGAAAAGCTGCCAACGGCAAGGAAAGAACTGACCCAAGCCCCCGTCGGAGATATTGATTCAGTGCATGGCTGTACCGGCAAAACAAACATCAGCGATAGAGCGTGCATACAGTCTACCACCAGAAATGGATCTACCCTCGGAAGTAGCAGGAAGGCTATATAATCCAAACTTGAACAGGAAAACAGACAACTCCGGCAGGAAAATCGACGATCATTTCGAAAAAGATCTTATCCGTCAGAGAGGTGGTAAAAGGCCTGTAAGAGGAGCAACTTGTTACTCCAGAGATGGCCGACCAAATGGAAACACAGTTTCCTATTCTGCAATTGGAAGTCACTTTGCTGGAGCTGGGAAAACTGCGCCTTGCTCAACGAATCACAATCATAGTGAACAGATGAAGAAGTTTGCACTGCTCGACAAAAGCGTACGTCTTCGCCAGAAAGAAGATTGCACTGCCGACTGTGCGTAGTGAGGAGATAGCTGGCCACGCATGCATAACTGGGCCTCGTGCGTGGACCATAGCTAAAATTTAACAATTTTCGCTTAGTATTTCGTTAGGCCAAAAAAACTAAGTCTCCGGTTTCTGGTATGCGCGCGCGTCGCCGTAGCCATGCGCGTCGTAAAAGATGATGTCTCAATACTGCCAAACTCACTGGTTTGACTGGAATCCTGCTGCTGCACAATTTTAACGTGTTTTTAGATGGGGATATGATCGAGAATAAGCTTTATGTGGCCTCTCTGGACTCCCATATATTTTCACTACGTTTAGTCGGGCACCAATTGCAGTCCTCAGCCAACATTTGAAGCAAAAAAAACAGGTAAAAAAAAAAAGCCGCGTCGCCGCACTACTTTTTGGGCAAGCTCCATACCAGAAACCGGAGACTTTTTTTTTTGGCCTTATCGTCTTATTGTTGCTCCTCAGCAATTGAAAGATTGAATAGCCCTCTGTTTGCGTTCATGCATATGAAGAAGATATATTGGATTATTTATTCTGGTTCATAAATTTATGGGAAGCAATACTCACCTGCTGGTAGTTGCACATAATTATTCGGATGGTGACAACCAAATGTATTTTTTTCATGAGCAATGATATTCTTGACATCTTGATTAATGGATGATATGGATATGGAACTGCCATTTCATCAGATTATTTATTAGCTAACGAGTAAGTTTTCATTGTATATAAATGGTTTATTACCTAAAAGTTATTTAAGTATTAGTTTGTGCAGTACTCACAACAGATGGCCAGAGACTTGTTTTTGTAGTCATCCATTCATTTTAAATGTAATGTTCCTATTGAGGTTAGCAGTATTAATTGATGGCCCATTGAAAATCATCTGTCAGGTGACATGGCTACCATCTGTAAATAAAGCTATTATTATTATTAAAGCAACGCAATATTTCGAGTGCCCGTTTTTATCGTTGCTCATTTACAAAATGATTTTCTATAATTTCATGTTGATATTGGTAACATTAAAAGTTTATGTTTTGTCTGATAGGCAAGTAACGGTTGATTTTTATTGCAAATTTTAAAAAAGAGGGGAAAATCTCATGAAACAGGTTGACCTTTAACTACGCTTTTGACATTTGCCTTTGTTAAAGATATAAGAACACAATGTGGCTACTTTTCGGTACAAATTAGTATTCTTGGCTGAAAATCAATTACCTTCAACACAGTCGCCAATTTGGCCCCAAATAAGACACAGAGGCAAACTCATTTGTAACTTTTCAAAGGAATATGAAATGTCACATTGTCAAAAATCGTAGTTAAAAATGTCAACCTGTTGTTAAGAACTTCAACGCATAGCTGAATTCAGGTGGGGGTGTTGTCGATATTTTTCCGTCCATCATTCACCAGCTGCCCTTTGCGCGTGGCCCTATTCACGTGACTTTGCAGCGCGTCCATGAAGAACCCAGAAGTTGTGTGCACAGTGAATGGCGCGTTCGAACGCGCGTCCGATCTAATTATTTTAAGTTCTATATCTATGGCATTTGCACACAAATACCGCGCCGTGGAAAAAGTACTTTGGTTGCTAATGGTATAGTACTTTGGTTGCTACGGGTATAGTACTTTTGGCCGTGCACAGAAAGATAGCAAAAATAGAAAGTATCATGTGACTCGCTCTCGGCCAATCAAGACAAAGAATCTGTGGGTGAGGTGTTATAGGCCTAATGGTAATTATTTTCCTTTTTTTTCTGTAGGCTATAGTTGCTGCATACAACAAGCATTCGGGCAAGACCAGAGACGAAGCCAAGATTGCGTTCCTGAAGATCGTGTACCAATGGCCCACGTTTGGTTCGGCGTTCTTCGAAGTCAGGGTGAGAAATTACGATTTCCATTATCAACACCTTGGAACTTTCGGAAATAATGCAAGATTGGTTCTTTGCAACTAAATTATGCTACTAACAAGTTCCAGGGAAAATGAAAAATCCATGAAAAAAAAAAGTATGAATTTTTTTGAACTTGAGATTTAACAGACACCAAGCCTTTTTGCAAAACACGCCGAAACATCCATTTTACATTTTTGTTTTTTCTTTTCAACAGCAAACCTCGGAGCCTACTATGCCGGATAGTCTCCTCATTGCGATCAACAAGCTCGGCATCATCCTGATTGATCCACGCAGCAAGGTAGTAGCGCCCCCTGGTGACGGTGTCAGGCGTGGACGTAGGAAGCAGGCTGTGGGAGAGATATTGGGGGGGGGGGGGGGGAGGGGATTTTGTTGTTGGAATTTTGAAGGCTAGTAGAGCTTGTTTGGCTAGATCAAGTTTTAGCCAAGTTTAGCTCAATCGGACAAAATATTTTTGTAAATGTCATCATTAAAGCCAAAACAAAAAAATAAGTCGGTCTCTGGTCAGCGCGCGCGTCGATTTTAATCATGCGCGTCAACCTTTTTTTTTCCAAAATGTTCCGCGGTAGCTCCAACAGCGCCCTCTATTGCCGCACCTCCTCATTTTATTTTTAACAAAGAGCACCAAGGAATGGAAAATTGCACCAAGGCAAATGATCGAGGGCACCAAGGCAAATTATGGAGGACACCAATGTACATGAGGACACAAAAAAGCAAAATAGTACCCCACCTTGTCTGTACAATCCAAGCTTAAAAAAAAAGCCGCGTCGCCGCATCAATTCCGGAACTTTGGCCTGACCAGAGACCGAGTATTTTTTTTTTTGGCCTAAACATAGTGACTGTAGCGCCCCAAACCGTCTTGCCCATATTACTCACTGTAGCGCCCAAGACCGCCCAATCACTCTTTGGTTGCTATTGATCATCAGTGAATAAACACAATGTAATACAATCTAGCACAGGTGCAAATATTTCATGCATCCCTCTGCGACCGAGTGCATATTCCTGCACACAGTCAATGAAAAAAAAACAAAGATTCTGTGCAAGAACTAAACATCTACGTTTATGAAGGCTTGGCTCACAAAACGTAAAAAGATATTTTCTAGATGGAGGAGGCAGATTTGTCACCTCCCCGACTCCCCTGACACCTCCCGACACCTTCCCTTCCACACTGCATGTTCCACCCCACCCCCTCCCCCTCCCTCCAGCCAACTTCACCCCACCCCACTTTAAAGTAAATCTCCAAAGAGCCAATCGCAAAAGAAGCTGCCTATAGCAATTATGCTCATCGAAGGAAATTGCACAGCAGAATGAGTTGACAAGCCAAAAGATCACATAATGTTCATTGATATTGTCTGGTACTCTGCAGATAAATTTGCTAAACAAATATCAAACATTTTCCAGAATCCTTGCCAGCTTAGCAAATTTCCTGTGATCACCTCTGCAAACCCTACTTTTTTGTTTTCGTTTCCCCCTTTTCGCAGGAGATTTTGGTAACTTACCCTTTCACCAAGATTTCCAACTATAGCAGCGGCAACACCTACTTCCACATGACCATCGGTAACCTGGTATGGGGCACCAAACTACTATGCGAAACATCTCTGGTAAGATAATCTTTTTTCTCTCTTCAAACAGGGAAAAGAGCGTAAGCAGAAGGTCGTCGGATATTTTGAAATTTCAAAAATGAGAGTGGGGGGAGTTGGATAATAATTGTGCACGTTTAAAAACTTGAATTTGATTGCACAACAGACTTTTCCATGAAGCCCCGCCAACTGCCAAAATGGGCAACATCACATGCGTCTGGTATAACATGTGTCCAGTGACACACTGCATGTTCCACCCCACGCGCCATGTTGGACATTAATCATGCCTGTGATTGGTGAAAAGATCTCGGGGCGGAGCTTGATGGATTGGTCTCTTCAGTACACAGAAGCGCTTCCAAAATCTTCCTTGTGTGTGAAAACTTGCAAATGCACAATAGCTGTTGCAGCTGCATGCGTGCATACATTTCAAAATGTATTTTTTCATTGCATTTTTACAGGGTTACAAGATGGACACTCTTTTGACCTCCTACATCGGCCAGATGCTGAGAGCCAAAAATGGAAAGTAAAACATATGTACAAACAATTCCCAAATACTTCATATATATAACTGTACTGAAAAAGGGACATTATTATTTGCAGACAAGTATGAGTGAGTTTTCCGAAAAGACGGTATTGTTTCGACTTTGCTTTCATTTCTGGCTCTGGAACAATTTTTGATCCTCAAAACGAATACTCTTTGGTTGAGATTTCACTTTGTGTCAATTGTGTATTAGATTTGGTGGGGGTAAATTTGTATTTTCTGAACAATAGAAGCTGTACTAAAAATGCATGCTTACAAGAAAGCTGTTTGGCTAAGCAATATTTCTTATACATAACTACGGGGCATCGTCCTTCAAATATAGTTTGTGAAAATAAGGATTATTTTTCGAAAATTAGGAAAGTTTTTTATAAAACAAAGTAAATACTTAGAATAAATTCGAACATGGAATGTGATATTTAGAGGCCATTTTGTCCGCTGTAAGTTTTGTTACTATTTTAATTTTAAATCAAAAAATGACTGGTTCTGGGGGTAATTAAAAATCAAAATTCAGTGAAGGGTCATTTAATAGCTAGACAACAAAATGATCGGAAAGTTTCAATTATAGAAAGGTATTCAAAATCTTTATTGTTTTTTCTCTTGTACATGTAGTGTATGAAGCCTCTTTGTATTTTTGTCATTGTTGCTTTTTCTGTGGTGAGTTTCTTATTTGTTCCTTTGGAATTATTGGGTTAAAATTTCAGTTGTTTGATTGGAACATGTAATTAGAAACATAATTTTTGAGAGAGGTGGTTCCGATTTTTAATTGGAGGAGATGTCTCAAAATTCTAAAATTTCAACAGAACTAGGTTGTCAGCGTTCCAGCAGATCTATTTATGACTTCAAAGAGACTAAAAAGTCTATTAATGAATTGATTATCGGGTTTTCTTGTAATAACTATTAATTGAAATTCTCGTTGAAATGAGTTTCTGTGTTCAGTGAATTCTTTTGAAAAACTTTCACAACTTTTAACCCCATGAGTTCTATTCAGTTTCATTTATTTCATTTCAATTCGTAATCAATTTGCAAATTTTAAAATTTTCCTCGATTTCGTGGTTGGATTTCACCATTATGTGCCTCAAGTATAAGTTTTTTATCAGAGGAATAAGAAATAATTACAGTTACATGCAAGAAGGAAAACGAAAATGTTTCTGTATTTGCCATTTTTTCAAATGGACCACGTCCACAATGTGTTATGTACACGTAATCATTAGGTACTGGGGTACCTATGTCACTTATTACGGCCAATCAAACATGTACATGTATGTCTTAAAAAAAATCATGTTAACATTTCCTTCAGTAGTAATTCGTATCACTTATATTTACTTTCATTCATTTTTTATAGAGAAAACAAAAAGCTGTGTCCAAATCATTGTAGTCATAACTAAAATAGCGAAAACAGTCTAGTAGTGTGTATTTACGGGAGTCTAGGGATCCGGGTACCCAATGGACCGATCCAGTAAGCCCCTCCCACTGCGCACGTGGGCAAATTAACACGTGCTCCTCTCCAATGCCACACTGCATTTTCCTGCCGCGCGCGTCATACGCGCGTGCACGCATGTCGGACTTTTGTGCACGCATGTCGGACATAAAATGCTGTGATTGGTCAGAATACCATGGGGCGGTGCTTACTAGGATCGGTCCATAGACCGCTTGAACACGCGTTCGATGATCGACGCGCGAAGGCGCGCGACGCCATGTTGTGGGACAGGCGTATATCTATCCACGCACATTTTGTCCCAGAACATGGCGTCGCTCACCTTAGCGCGTCAATTATCGATCGCGTCTGCAAGCGGTCTATTGAATTAAGTTTTAGATTAGAAAAAAAATAAACCTTTCCAGACCAGTGGCGGATCCAGGAATTTTCGCAGGGGGGGGGGGGGGGGGGGGGGGTGGGTTCATCAGCAAAACAAATCCTGAAATGTAGACTGTTTTTTTCTCCGGTCACTTGGCCTCCAAAAATCAAGGGGGGGGGGGGCTCGTACCATACTTTCAATGGAGGGCGCTTTTCAAATCCGACGATTATTAACACTATATTACACAACAGTATACAAATCCCCCTAACCAAGCTTGTTCTGTCTGTATTTTGTATTTTGTGTAAAGGTGGACATTATAATTGTTTTGGGTGTCGGAGCAGGGGGAGGGGGGGGGGGGGTTCGCATCATTTTATGAATTTCTATGATTTTTATTTTTTATTTGTTTTATTTGGACAGAGCTGTTCCCCCCCCCCCCCCCCGGATCCGCGCCTGCAGGCCTATCCGGTCCAGCCGGCCGGACGTTGGTTTCTTGTCGGCACTGTGGGTTCGCATTTGAGGTTTTTAAAACCAATTTCGATTGATATGGAAGCAATCAAAACGACGAATACAAGACAAAAATGTATAGGATTTAGATATAAATTAGTGTTGCTCACAAGCCGATTCTCAACGAACAATTTTAATATTACTTTCAGCAAAGAATCTTTCAGCATCGATTAATTTTAAAAACAAGCAAAAACAATGTAAGTAAAAAAAACCAAGGGATTTTTTAATCTCCTAATTAAAAATTGCAACCCATGATAAAAAGTCGGACATGTGGTGTCAAGTCAAGTTCATTCTTCATAACAAATATTGGATTCTTTCACTAGTTTTTCTGCTACTCTGTTCTTCGTGTAACGTCGTCTCAGTCCCGTCGCACGTCCCCTTGTCACGGTTGAATGAGTTTTCTACACTTAAACGGCAAAAGTTTGTGAAACTTTCTGATAACACAAGAGGGCGCTACACCGTACTTCTTGCCTTTTGGCTTTTTGGAGCTCGGAGAGAGATGGGGTAACATTTTGTATTTAATAAAACTAACTAAAAATCGCATTATTTTCCCCTTAATATAAGTTGTAATCTTGCATTTCATGATTGGTAGGTTAGATAGGTTTGATTTTCGCATTGTTATTTTTGATGGCAATATCATTTTTTGGTGACCCAATTTCTTTACAATGATGCGCTAAAGTAGCACATATCACTCCTTTTGATCGCCCACACTTGTGTAGGGTCTATGAGAGAATTGGGCGCTCTGTAAAAGGTCAAAGTCTGTAGCGCGCACACGGGCGGAACGGTGTTTTATGTGGAACTTTGAAGCTATCGCAAAAAGTCAATGCAAATTGCTCGCATTTTACGAGTCATTTTCCAGTCACTGAGAATATGTACTTTGTGGAGACTTCACTGGAGTACAGGAGGTAACATTAGAGCTCCTCCACTTGCTCAACTTCAGAGGGGAAAGTCCTAGAAAGTTCGGATGTGATTGAATAATTTTTTTTCCGATCGAGCGGCCATTTTATTCTCGTATCCTGCAGACCGCCTGTCATGCGTATGTGTGTACGTGTATGTGCACAACTTCCGGAAGTAGTTTTGCAGAAAACCGCTATGGGGTCGGTAAGTTAATGCAGTGTCATTTTTTAGTTTTGAGCTAAAATTCAGTTCCACAAGTATGCTCACAATTTCTTGTCTTCATTTTTAAATGTTAAAAAAATCATATTATTCATAAGAAGGGCTTAAAATTAATTGAAAGTGTTTGAAACATTTGAATAATTTGGTCAGTTTATCAATTCGCAGTTGATAATGATATGTTGTTTTTAAAGCAACGTTAGCTATTAACATTACATTCGTGACGGTGCAAGTTGAAACTTCTTGATAAGCAAAATGATAATTGATATGTTGTTTGGTTAAACTTAAAGAGGTTGTGGAATGCTCGAAGACATTTCCGTCATTTTTCGGGTATATGTAGCCTAAGGTGTGATGAAATAAAAACGACTATTGTTTCTGTCATGAAATGAGTACAAAAGGTACTTTTTGAGAGCTGTTTTTCAGGTCCAGTTTCGACCCGAACGTGCAACTGTGTAAAAGTCGTCATTGCGGGCAGCAAACAAAACATAGTAAATCGTGACGTAATAAACAGGACTCGTGTATGCTACTGTGCATCGGGAGTCCTGTTTATTACGCCACGATTTACTGTGTTTTGTTTGCTGCCCGCAACGACGACATTTACACAGTTGCACGTTTGGGTCGAAACTGGACCTGAAAAACAGCTCTCAAAAGTACCTTTTGTACTCATTTCATGACAGAAACAATAGTCGTTTTTATTTCATCACACCTTAGGCTACATATACCCGAAAAATGACGGAAATGTCTTTGAGCATTCCACATCCTCTTTAAAGGAATTATTTCATTCTGAGTGACAGTGACCTTTTGGGGTTCTTGCAGACGATTTTGAGAAATATTTGGTTTCATAACCAGAAATATATTGTCACTTTTTTTATGTCAGACCCCCTGAAGCTACGCACTCACCTTCAATTTGTGTGTGACAGGGGGCCCGCATTGCAAGCGTTAGCTACGCAGATTATGGGGCGTCGAGGGTACGTACTAGGCCCCCTTGGTCTTTAAACTATTAACCCTAACTGCCCTGAATCCTCCAAAATCCTTTTTGCAAATTGGAGGAATTTGCAGGATTGAGGTTACATGGCAAAAGTGGGTTGCTGGTTTCGGAGTACGCACTGTGTCAAGGTCTTGGGCCGGACCTTGTGTTGTTTATGCTCAGCCGTGCATAAATTTAGTCCTTGATTATACTTGACATCCTCCGCACTGCTCCAGGATGTCACTGCCTCTGCCTCAGCCTATTGACAGTCATAGCGGAGGAATTTGCAGGATTGAGGCTATATGCTATTTTTCCATGAGGCCAATTGGAGGATTTTGCAGGATTGAGGCTACATCCTAGCAAAAAGGCCTAGGGAGTTAGTCCAGCAAGTTGAACATTCGTTGTAACAATTTCCTTTTTTCCTTGTTATTTTACAGAATTCACAACACAGCAACAGCAGAACGCTAACGACTTTATGTTGATGTCACATCAATTACACAGTAACAGTTGACAAAAGCCTTCATCAAATTCTCCAGTTTGGTATTCTACGTAAGAGGGACTGGGGACAGTCCCCACGAACTACCAACATGACCGCTAACACTACCATGACCGACTTTATGGCCGACTGGACGATCAAACGTGTCAAGGCCAGGTATGACTTCAAGGGCGATGGGGACGACACGTTGTCGTTCTCCAAAGGCGAGATCATCGCGGTGACCCAGATCGTGGACGGGGGCTGGTGGGAGGGCATGAGCAATGGCCAGGTTGGCTGGTTCCCGAGCAATTTCGTCAAAGATATCAAGCCAGCCGGTAAGTTATCCTGTTATCAGATATTAGGTTTAGGCAAATAAACGTTTTTGGAATTTATTGGAATTCTATCCACGACGTAGGATTCAATTCAGAATTGACAGCGATTCACCACGCAAACAAAAAACATTGAGTCAATTTTTGTTTCTGCTCATGATTTCAAGCGTGGAAGTAGCTATTGCACATCTCTTTCAGAACCATGTCCTTTGCAATATATTCCTCAAAACGGCGAGAATTATTTTAAAACCAGGATAATAATAGTTGCTGAACTTGTTCCAGTACTTGACTGATAAATAAAACCAGAAATGTTCACTACTTACGGATATTTTGGCTGAAACTGAGGAGACCTTTGTTACCAACATGTCAACAAATACGACTGCCTTTTCATTGCCTCATGCATACACATTTTCTTCCTGGCTTAAACGTCGCCACCATGCGGTCACTTCAAGATATTTGGATCGTGTCCCCAACCCCACAATACCATCCGGATTGTATACGACTGTTTTATGTCATATTTTGATATATTTGTTGTGGTCCCCTGCCGTGTGTTGCGATACTCATCTCAACTAATAGTAACATGTAACAGTCGTCTGGTATACATTTTCAGCATTGAAACAATCTCGTCCGCAGTGCTTACTTTATTTCCAACACGGTGACGGTTCCCAATAGTAGAGAGCAGGTAGTGATGGGCGCGTTCTGCTCGACATCCTAGGGACGAGGTTGGCATTGAAAATATTGGCGGTGGAAGCGCACCCGACCATGGCTTAGCACTGGTAAACAATGCGCGCTACTTAATGCAAAGTACCTGCATTGACCTGTGACATGTGTTTACACTCGACAGTCATTTCGAGTGTGCTTCAGTGTGGGTTGATAAAAACAGACCTCCAAAAATTATCTGGAAAAACGTGAGCTGTCAGTATTTTACTATTCATCTTTTCATCATTTGGTGCATTATAGGTCTATACTTCATACTGTATTAGTATAATACTTCAATATTGAATATATTATAAACTTTTTCGTGTCTGAAAAAAATTTGCCAGTTTTGCTATTGTGAGTTTCCTAGCGTTATGCATAAACATAACGCTAGGATCATCCTAGCTAGCGTGGAAGGTACACTATATCTCTAGGCACCCTGCCAAATGCAACAAAATGCAACTTGGCCAAAATAGAACCCTGCAAAATGCAACAAATTGCAACAGTGGATTATGTTGCATTGTGCAGTGAAACTAGTTAGTGCATCCGGTTCGTTAGTGTGACGTCACCATGCGTACTTCACACAGTGTAGCATAGCACGAATGGAACCGGAAGTTAACGCAACTCGAGCATTTATCAAGTGGGCGCTAGTTATCAGTGGTGTGCGCGCGTGTATGACGTTTTTACTAACGAACTGGATACCAGTCTTAGCACCAAGCAGTTACCCTGCTAAATGCAACCAAATGTAACAGTGGATTCTGTTGTATTGCCTGGGCACTATGAGTAGTTACCCTGCGAAATGCAACAACAAAGCACAGGGACTTGAGTTGCCTGCTAAATGCAATGTCAGCATGCAACACTTTTTACCTTTGTTGCTTTCTGTTGCATTTAGCAGGGTTACGGATAGCTATGGCAGTTAAGCAGAGTTCAATTGAACACATACAATGTAGCTGTTTTTTTCACAGTTTGATTTCGACACAGGATGTTTTTCACCAAAAGCTTAGTCAAGTTACAACTTACAAGCATTGTGAGGACCACAGAAAGTTCAATCCTGGGCCCACACATGGAAGTTTTTGTGGGTGGATATTAGTACATACATGTACTTTATGGAATAGTGTGTGGTCTTCTCACAGTCACAAGAGCGCCAATTCGCAGGACACACCACACGTACACATGTGGGCACTGAATAGATTGATCCATTAGGCTCGCGCCATAGGTTACACCTCTATGTTCCGACACCCCTATGCTCCGACTGCACATATTCATATTCCTAACCCTAACCCTAACCCTAACCCTAACCCTAACCGGGAGTAACACAATCTAGGTTGTCGGAACATAGGGGTGTCGGAACATAGAGCAGTCACCGCGCCATACATGCACGTGCACGCATGTTAGACTTTTGTGCATGCTTGTCGGGCATAAACGTAATTCACGGCTGTGATTGGTTGGAACACCATGGGCGGGGCTCAACCCTCCCATGCAAACGTACGTTCTGTGCCAAGTTGTCCTTTCAGTCAATATCAACCAAGTGACAGTTTTCAATTGCTAAGAATTCCCAGCCTACATAAGGCAGGATTGACTGGCTGTGACTGTTTAAATACAGCTTTGCTTAGACTGTGGGTGATTGATAAACTTGCCTGTTCATGGTCTGTTGACTGAATTTGACTTGAGCCGTAGTGCTGGCTTGACATTATGATCTGACTGTTGGTGACTAGCCTGTGTTAAAAGTATAGCAGGGGATGGACATTTTGACTGTCTGTGACTGTTTAAATAGCAGGAGGGTTAAATTATTGCGAGTCCAGTATTTGTTTAAGGGTTAGAAACTATTGCGTGACTAATTAGTTTGTGCAGAATACCAGTCATGAGCAATACACATACACAGTTTTAGCCGGTAACCTATTCTTGCTCTAGGCAAACTATTCCTATTGCTGATTTGAATAATTATCCCTGTCATAAATCATTGACATCTGTTAGTCATATAATCACATGTATGTATTTTTAGATGTTCAATGACAGGTTCACTGCTCACAGTTCAACTGTCTGGTTGGTTCGTCATTACTATTATTAAATGGGAGACATATGGCGCTAGTGTGAAGTTAATTATAAACACATCCTTTCATTTAATTGTTAACATTTTTTGACAAATGTATTAAAATCTGGTTTAGCCAATGTGTATTTTTGTTTTGTTAAAATGATTAATATCCCAGATTATCAGGAAAACTATTCTTAAACTTATTCATCTGCCCTTAACCTTCCCAGAAGCTAGTCTTTTTTTCTTCGGCGAGTTGCTTGAATATATTTGCCTAATCATCATGTCAAAGAAGTAAGCTTGTGACAAACTCACTTAACCCTAACTCCCTAGGCATTTTTGCTAGGATGTAGCCTCAATCCTGCAAAATCCTCCAATTGGCCTCATGGAAAAATAGCATGTAGCCTCAATCCTGCAAATTCCTCCGTTATTTCTTGAATATGGTCCATGGAGGGGTGACTACTGCCTGAATCCTGCAAAATCCTCCGGCTATAACTGTCAATAGGCTGAGGCAGAGGCAGTGACATCCTGGAGCAGTGCGGAGGATTTCAAGTATAATCAAGGACTAAATTTATGCACGGCTGAGCATAAACAACACAAGGTCCGGCCCAAGACCTTGACACAGTGCGTACTCCGAAATCAGCAATGCACTTTTGCCATGTAACCTCAATCCTGCAAATTCCTCCAATTTGCAAAAAGGATTTTGGAGGATTCAGGGCGGTTAGGGTTAAAATGGCAGCAGTGATGGAATACACACATGTATTACACCGTACATCTGCAAAGTACATTAGTATGTACAGTATGTAACATTTGGTACTAATAGATTGATTGCGTTCAACAGCTATGTTTGAGGTGTGTTTTGTTATGTTAATTCATTAACACTGACTGCACAAGAGGTCTGCCCATGCATATCCCTGTTGAACAAAAGCACACACCTCAAACATGGCTGCAGTGCAAACAGTCTATTTAAAGATATAGGCCATCATTTGTAATTTGTGCATTTTGTTCGTTTGAAGCAACAAAAGTGTTCAAAATCTAATGAAGGATAGGCCTACTGAACAACTAACCTGATGAAGTTTCAGCTCAGCTTCAGCTGTATATTCCGAGAAGAACAGCATTCTAGGATCTCAATTTCAAATCAAAAGTTGATGAATCATGTTTTGAATTGGGCCTGAATTCAGTGTCCGAGACGCGTTCACACTGAGCCGATTGCAGCTATACATGTACGCGATGTCGCGCACTGATCCGATGAATTATAGCAACCGCGTGTGCGTCGTGCCAATGCTTGCGCGCGCTTCGCCGAATAACAAAATGAACTACTAATTTAAATTTTGCTACGTTGCGTCTTAAGACGCACCGTTGGAAAGGCCTTCTTTCGTTGATTACTTCAAAAAAAATTCACAGGGAGTTTAGTCCCCTTACTATCTTTCAACCAAGTATGTTTTTCAACAATAATTACGCCAGTTACTTTTCGGATAGCTGCAAATGATGGACTATAGCTTTAACAGTGACTCTTGAGTCCTCATCACAGGGAATGTACCTCCATATGTTGGCATTTTGACAACAGAACTTAGTAAAGCTGCTTCGTCTGGTTGATGCATTAAAATTTGACGTGGCCCATCCAATTTATTTTTGACGTTGGTCCTTATCATATCCCATGGGCGTTACATGTGGAGGCAAAATTACAGGCTGCTGCAGTGGCCATTGGAATCAGTGTAGCATACAAATGAAAAACTTCCACCTTAGCTAGGAAAAAGTACTCACAATTGTTGAGATACATGTAGTTTTCGTATTGTTTGTATTCTGTATGCTTATTTTCAAAAGATGAATCTTGAGTATTCTTTGGTTATTTAGTGCGCTGTTGTGTATTGATGGAATAAATCTGTTCTTTTTTTTTTCTTTTGAATAAGTCAGTTCATTAATCCAATTCGCTCTTTTCACGCTCCGCCATGGGGCATGCTGAGCCTCGATCTGGCAACTTTACACAATAAAAATAGCCGGTTCAGTAATCTGAACCCGGACATGGGAATCACTGAACCGGCTATATTTATTGTGTAAAGTTGCCAGATCGAGGCTGTGCATGCCCATGGGGGAAGTGTGAAAAGAGCGAATAGAGCTGTCTCTTTTCGAATAATTTGGTATTCGATTATTTGAAACTGTGATTGACCAAATATTTGAGACACTCTGATCGTGTTTTTACGCACCAGCTGCAACTGCCTTATGTGCCAGTCAAAAGTTGCATGCAAAGCACGCCAGTAGAACTTTGTGTCAGGCGAGCCAT